CCTCGTCCCCATGAACCCTGGTGACAAATCACTTCAGAAAGCGTGCCGCTTCTGACAGGTCCCAGGAGGCCCTGGCCATGTCCTTAGTCCCATTTTTTCTGTCTAACTCGGATAAAAAAAAACCTTTGGGGCACTATGCTGGGGCCTGGGGTGGGGATGGAGATGCTGGCGGCTCCCAGGAGGGGCTGTTCGGGACTCTCCCCATGGTGGCGGTGCCGCCCTCCCTATCTCTCCCCTCCCTTCCAGGGCCAGGCCAAGCTCTTCCTCCTCGCCAATTCCTGCCGAGGTTGGGCGCTGCTGATAACAATGAGGACTTGGCCGTTTATCTCCCCGCATCCTTCAGGCCACAGCGTCTCCTGGCCTCGCCCAGGCCCCAGCCTGCCCCTGGTTGTTCCCTGTGGTGACGTGCTGGGTTTTTGGCCCAGCTCTGGGCACACCTTAACCCTGGGGTGGTGACAGGATGGGAGAGGTCTCTGCAGGGCTTGGGGTGTTTTCTTGCACCCTCTGGGACCAGTGATTCTGAAGGCCTTCACCCAAGGGTGCTGATCTTTCCTCAGGGTGTCCCCACATGGGAGCAAGGCCCTTTCTTCCCCTCATGAAGATATGTAGCAGATATACTGGGCTGTGCCAGCCCCAGTGCAATGTGGTTTTCTGGCACTGGTGGGACTGGGCTGGCCCCGTGCTCTGTGCCTCAGGTGAGGAGAAGCCGCCCCAGGCCCTGCCGCTGGGTTTCAGCTTCACGCAGCCTCTGCAGTTCTGCTGTGTGTGGGCAAATGGCCCAGCTGGCAGGAGCCCAGGCCTGGGGTTTTGTGTTGGGAGCTGTATTTTCTGCCCCAAACCCTTTGGATCCCAGCTAGTCAGAGATCCTGGAAACCATAAACCGCAAACATCCCAACCCCATGCACTTGGGCTGATAGGCCCGCTGCCCCATGTGTGTGCACGGGGGTGTTTAAGCAACACCCACCACTGCTTTTCCTTTGTGTTGCCGAAGGACTTGCAGAAAATGGATGGCAGAGGGTCTGTGCCATGAGGGTCCAGGTGAGGTGGGTCTTGGTGCATGGGGGGGCACCCCAGGGCTTACTGCCTGCGGCCTGGGCTCTGGGCTGGCTGAGGGGAAGGGCAGAGCCCTTCGGTGGCAACAGCATCCCCGGCCAAGGGTATAAATAACTAGCTGCTCTGGTGACCCAGGGAAGAACCGCCATGCAGGCGGGGTTAATTGTCAGCAGAAATTATGGGGACATTGTTCCTCCGAAGATAACCTACAAGGGATGAAGCACGGAGCAAATTTTTCCCCTTCAAAGTGAAGGAAAAAGACCTGAAATATTGGTGCGGTGTCTTTGTTCTCAGCATTAGGCTGGCTCTCCCAATTAATTGTTTTTCTCCATTTCTTGTCAATGAGAATCAAGATGGATGAACTTTTTGTTTCGCCATCATCTTCCCAGAAGAGCTGAGATAGCTCCGGTAGGGCTGGGCCAGTTCTCTGTTTTCTTTACCTTCACACAGAGACCATTTTATCTTTAACCTACACGTGAAATTTAGGGCCCAAGGATGGATTGTCATTTTTGGCAGGAAAGTCTTTGGTTACAGAAAATTACTGCAGAAGGGTCTGCACGTAAATAGCCTGACATGGGGCTGACCGCATCCTTCTGGGCAAGGCGGGGACAGAAGCTGGTAGCTCGGCAGCAGCTACATCCAAGGGAGACAGAGCAGCTTTATGATCGCCCGATGCTGTGGAAAACAGAGAGCTTTTGCAATTGCATTGCCTCGGTTTTCCTTGCAGAGGGCCCTGAGGGTCACGCTGCTGCGTAACTTGAAATGTGAGCAGTGTTTGCACGGCAGGGTACCCTGCCTGAGCGCAGGACCGTGGTCCAAGCAAACTTCTCTGCTCCTGGGCAGTACCAGTAGGAGCCAGGCCGTGCTCCAAACCCAACCGGCAATAATGTGCCATCCACCAAAAACTGATTGATTTATTGTCCAAATGCTCCTTTAAAAGTATTCACAGAAAATCCAAGCCAAAATCATTTTTAGCAACTAAAAGCTGAAGTTTGACTCAGAAAATAACAGGATGTTTAAGTTTTGAAAAATGTTCCCCTCTTGCCTGCTTGCTTTTATTTTTAATGCGACCGCTTGGAAAGGCTACTGAAAGAAGCAATTCCCTGCAAAATCTTCCACTTGGGCATAGAAAATAGCAACCTGGTTTTTAATTGAGCAGCAGGTCACCGCCCAGCCCAGGACCTGCAGCCAGCCCCAGGAATGTTCAGCTCTGCGGCAGAGGCAGTACCACCTGTCCCTGAGAAAAACAGGGAGCTGGGTGATGCCAGATGATGACATTTCATAGTGTTTCATTTAGAATTCGGATTCATTTAGTATACAAACAGCCAAACCCAGAAGCTCTAATTGCCAGCTCAGCCATGTACCCAGCTGAGCACTTAGCAGCACACGCAGAAGCTGCCCAGCCAGCCGGAATGGTAAACGTCGCACGGTGAGCAATGGGAACACAGCCTAACGATGGACACAAATTGTCCAGCACCTCCCTGGTGCTTTATAAAGATGCTCCTGTACTTTCTAGGAATTCAGGCAAGATCCTAGAAATCTCTCACTGCTTTCTTGAAACTTCTTTGTGTCTTTTTTTTTTTTTTTCTTTTTTTTTTCTTCTTTTTTTTTTTTTTTGAGTATCTATGTTCTTTTTAGGAATTACGAGATATTTGTAGGAATTACAGACTGGAATTCCAAGGGGCTTTCTGAACATCTTGGTGTACCTCCTGGGAATTTCAGGATGCTTTTTCTTCTAGAGTTTTCTAGGCCTTTCCCTGTGCTTTCTAGGAAATTTCAGGTGCTCTCTAAGCATCAGAGAGTCATTTCTAGAAATATCTAAATGCTTTCTTGGGATGTGGATGTGAATAAGAGCACTTTCTGGAAATTTCCCAGTACTTTCTAGGAATTTCCCCTTGCTTTCTAGAAATTACCGACTGCCTTCTAGGCATTGCTGAGCGCTTTCTAAGACTCGCAGTGAGCTGCCCAGAAACATCTTTGATCCAAAGTCCAGGCTGCTAACGTTCTCCAAGAAGCCACAGGGCTACACAAATGTCTCTGCAGCGCACAGCATCTATTTCTAAATAAATAGAAAGGGGCCTACCTATTTTATCTTTGAACAGCAATACCATGGCAAACCATAGAAGCACAGCGGTCTGTTGAGCTTCTGCCATGGTTCAGATGTTTTTTCAAGGTCTGGAATTCTCAGCACAAATAAATTCAGGGATATGGCAAAACAGAGCGTATCTGGAGTGCTTGAGCAGGGGGTGATGCCCCAGTGAGAGATGCTGAGGTTCGCTATAGCAAAACACTTGCTCAGGGGGAGGTGGTAAAGGGCTTGCACAAGCTATCAGATATTCATCTTTCTTTTCAGAACAAGCACTACTTCCAGTCCTGAAGCCTCAAACCTGATTTTAGCATCATTAGATAATTCTCCCTGGGTCTCTTCTGCCCAAGCTCAGCCAACACGTTCCCTTTCTGCAGGAACCATTCCTGGCTCAAACCACTGCTCTGTCCCCTGCCTGGACAGCCACCATTTGAAGAAAGAAGGCATGGCAGGGGGGATAGATCACTAAAGGCTGTCTCTGCCCTGTGTAAGGTATTTCACATCTTGCTTCCTTTTCCCAAAGAGCAGCAGTCTTCCTCTTCCTCAGTGCTCCATTCTCAAATACCAACCCTCTGCAGGCTGGCAGTGGAGCAGAGCTATTTGCAGCAGTGGTGGGCTGATGATTCCCACGAGTTCTGGATGGGGTGCTGGTGCCCGCTCACTCAGTGTGACGTGTTTCTGTCATAACTGTTTTTCATCACCTCTCTTTTTCCCAACATTTTTCCTATTAAACCGATAATTTTAGATCTGTCGAGAATGTCTGAGGGTGATTTTTTTTCCCCTGTGCCTTCAATTTAAAAAAAAAAATAATGCGTAAGGAGAAGAACGCCCTTAGATCACTAGCCAAGGGCAGGCTGTGCCCTGAACCACATTCATACTGAAGTGCCAGTGTTGGGAAGTTAAGGTTTGGCCAGGAAATGGTCTCAGCGGAGAGCAGGGCCTCTGAGCTGTCTGGTGAGATTAGCTTCTGGTTTTTGGGAGGCTATTGCGGTTCAAAATCCATGGCTGGGGCAGATGCAGAGCACTGCAGGCTGGTTTTTCTGCCTATTTTGGCAGCCTTTTAGAGGCAGGAAGATGGTGTCATGTTGTGTCTGGCTGCGGTGGGGAGGCGAGGAGGACATGAGTCTTCCCAGGAGGTCACTTGAGGTATGGGCAGGGGAAAACACAGCTGTGCAGGTGAGACCAAAATCCCACACAGGACATCACTGGTGATACAAATACTTTTTTCTGTTTCTAGCAAATCTTTCATAGAGAAGTGAGTGCCTGTGGGTCCCTCCTCTGATGGCTTCTGCCTCTCCACCATGAGGGTTGTGGCAGGGCTGTGTCTCAGCTCTCTTGTCACCAAAAGCAAAGCCCCTCTGCCTTTATCTGATAATTTTGTTAAATTAACTTTCTAAAGGGGGCAGTAAATGGAGCGGATAACCTTTGCCCATTTTTGGTTTAAACAGATCAGGAATTACAGCTGGAGCTCGCATTCACGTAACAGACCGCACCATAGAGGTGTGCAGGTGTGGATATTGTAGCACGTGGCATTAAACCCTATTACAAAACTGTTTAATTGTGCATCCGAAAGCTCTGCCTTCAGGCCTGCAGAGAAGATGGCGCCCACAACTTCTCCACAGCCTCTGGGCTGTGCGGGGTGTAAGGGAGCTACACAACCTGTATAGTAATATGGTGTGTCTTTTCTTTTTTATTTTATTAATTTTACCACAAACACTCTTTAGATAACTTTAAAAAAGAGGACTGAAACAAAGCAGCTGTTATACAGAACCAGCTCCACCTTCACAGACTCCGCCCCCCCCCCCCCCCCCCCCAGGGGCCGCCCCACAGCGGCCGCCATCACGGCGAGGCCGCCGCCACCCCCGCCACGTGACGCCGTGTCCCCGCTTGGCATTGGCCGAGCGCGGTCACGTGCCGCAGGAGGGAGGTGGGGGGCGTGCGGCCGCGGTTGCCACGGCGACCGGAGGCGGCGGCGGCCCGCAGGTAGGGGTAGGCCGCGGCCTGGCCCGGCCCGGCCCGGGGGGCTCCGGGGGGGGTTTTGGGGGGCTCTGAGGCCGCTGTGGGGCTGCTTTGGGGCCGCTGACCCTCCCCTCCTGCCCTTCTCCCCCCCAGGTGTGTCGCCGGTGAGCCCCGGCGGCGCCGCTCGGCGATGGGCGACGTGCTGGCTTACGAAGCCGAGCTGCTCGGGCTGGTCAGAGAGGTCGGTGTGCGCTTATTTTCCCCTTTTTTCCACCCTTTTTTTGTTGAAATGAGCAAGGGGGGGTTCAGAGCGCTTGTGTTTGGGAGCAGGGTGGTGTAAGCGCTGCGTGCTGTGGGTGTGCAGCCGGGCAAGCGTTTGCTGTGCCTGGAAGTCAGAGGTTCACAGGGCTTAACGTGCGTTACATGCCAGCAGCCACACGTCTGATAATTAAAAAATATATATTGTTCGTCGTAAACAAGGCTTTTGTTAAAGGGACGATTAAATTGATTAGACCCTGGATAGCTCTGGGGCTCGGGTCCAACGTGTGGCACTGGTGAGAGCCTTAAGCCAGGTGGCTGCCATCTGATTTTGTGCCTCTGTAAAATTGCAGAGGCACGTAAAAGCCCCAGAAATGACAAAGCCCAGGCTGAAGTCCTGAGACCACCAGTCTCCATGGTTTAATGCCTAATCAGGGTTCTCTAGCTAGGTGCTCCTCTACCCACATTGCCCATTAGATGATGTTCTGAAGCGTGAAACAGTCCTATGGAAAAAAAATGTGAGAAACAGACCTTAAAGGGTGGGCATTTCTCTGGTGCTTTATGCTTTTGCCTTCCAGATAAATTGGCTAAATGGGATGTTTGTGATTGGGAACAGGGACACAAGCTGTGATCTCTGTTGCTTGTTACCGTCACGTTCCTTTGATCAGCACAGTCTCAGTAGCCTGACTGCGACCTGAAGTGAGCAGCAAACAAACCAGCAGCCTCCCACCTGCACCGTATGCTTGTGTGACCCAATTTGCTGCACGGTTCTGCAGGCACCAGCGCTGAGATCAGGAGCAGCAGTCAGCTGCTATTGTGCCCAGCTTTTTCCAAGCTGTCTGTTGAAAGCTTGGACTCTCTGCCTGAAGAGTTTATCAAAAGGCAAAATCTTACAAAGCCTAATTTTTTTGTTTGTTTGTTTTTCAGAAAACAAATTAAAAAGTTCTAAGTACTCAATCGTTAATGTAGTACTGTTTATGTTAACAGTGAAGAAAATAAATGATTCCAGTTCACTGTGGCAATGTTGGACACCCAGATCAAGGCTGCAAGACAAAATGTGATGTCCTGCCACAGCAACCAATAACTAAGACTCATGAGATGGGGGAGGAGAGGGAAGACATGTAATATCATGACTGTACATTGTGGGAGGAAGAGAGAGGGCTGTTCTTCTCTTCTTCAGATGAGCAATGGTTGGTTAGCTGGCTGTTGATTTGGCTAATGCAGCTTCACATATCATGGGTGAACTGGCTTAGGATTCCAGCTTTGTGGCTGCTGAAGAGAAGAGTCACACTTAAGAATTCTGTCCGCCGAGAACATTATCTGCAAGGAAGTTATTTACTTTTTATTCAGCTGAGGTGTTGGCAGTAATGGATTTTCTTTCTTTTTTCTTCTTTGGTTGCATTAAGTTACTGTCTAAACTGGGGGGCATCATACTTTTAGAGACAGTGTGCTTGGTTTCAAATACTGTTGTCTAAGATGTAGAAAGAAACCTAAGTTAAGAAATGGTAGGCTCTCACCATGTGAGACACAGTTGTTTGTTCCTGTATAATCTTTCAACATCTATGGACCATACTACAGAGAAACTTTTAAGGACTTTGGCAATTCATGGATCACTCTTTGAAGCACTAATAATCTAAGAAAAATATTTCTATATGTTTTTATCTTGCAGTATTTGGATTTTGCAGAATTTGAAGAAACAGTGAAGGTATTTGCAAAGGAATGTAAAATAAAAGGGAAGCCTCTACCCAAAGCAGCAGGTGTTTCCTTGAGAGATTCAAAAGCCTTGCCTGTGCAGGTAACGCATCACTTGCACTTATTTTGAATAATACTCAAAAGGGTTTAAGTCCGCTAACCACTGTGTGAATTATTACAGCACTGTCTGAACCGATTCTTATTTATTTGGAGAAGGCTGCTAGCAGTCTTCTTTCAGTGCAGGAACCTCCACATTTGCTTTTTTGAAGAGCTTCAATCCTTCTGAACCTAAGGCAGTAGTTTTGGTTCACAGTATTTTAGGTTTTTAGCTTGATGTACTTTGAAAAGTTGATTTTCAGATGCTGCAGGTGTTTGTTTTTCCCTTATGGTAAAGGTGGGTCCCCAGATCGATGCTTGAAAATTCTTTGCTTCTTGTATCAATGGGTGATTCAGGCTCTCAAAGAGATTAGAGATAGTTGGAGAAGGAATATTTAGCTGGTCATCAAATGGTAAGAGGTTTTGGGTAAAGCTTTAATTCAGCATCTTCAGATGGCACTTGGATTCTTCATTGACTAGCCTGGGTAGCCTTTGAAAAATGTTACTCTTCTGTGTTTGTTTTTTGACTGAATGCTTTTGCCTTTTGCAGAAAGATTTGCTAGCAGCGTTTGAAAATGGTGAGCAGAAAGCTTTCTTCCAGCTCTGGGAGGAGCATATTTCATCTTCGGTCCGGGACAATGAACCAGCTGCTCAGAAGCTGGAGTTCTATCTTCACATATATTTTGCTACATACCTCTTGAAACACTCTGTGGGAAAGCCTGTAAGTTTCCTTGACGGTTTGAACTTCAAATTGCTTTCATTTGTTTTACTTGATATACTTGTCTTTAGTGCAGATGGCAGTGGGATGCTTAGTTAGAAATCACAGAGTACACATCTGGATTTTGGGCAGCAGTCCACATTTTAGATGAAAGCAGACACTTGTATTGTGAAGTAAAGAGATGGAATTTGTTCCTTATTGTGGAGCTCCTGAAATATCTTGGAAAATACCAGTGTGCTGACATTTTCACACCTCTAATTGTATACACTGAGATTTCAAATTTGAAGTTAATGTCTTTAGGTCTCTGCTTACATCTGCCAGCTTTACAGTGCATTCAGAACAGCAGTCTTCAAAATAAATATGTGGTTTTATTTCCTAGGACAAAGCTGAACTTGAGGAAAGGATTTCCCACTTTAAAGCATACCTTGAAACAAAAGGAGCTGCACTGAGCCAGACTACAGAGTTTCTTCCCTTCTATGCTTTGCCTTTCGTTCCCAACCCTATGGTGCATCCTTCATTTAAAGAACTTTTCCAGGTACTTTGCAGTAATTGTATTTATGATGTGTTTGTTGGTTTTTTTTTGTTGTTATTTGTTTTTTTTTTGTTCCCCTTGGAATGGTAGGTGTTAAATGATATTTGATTTGGTAATTGCTTTTATCATTTCCTCTAACAGAAACTGTACAATCATAAAAGAAGACATTTCATGGAGGAGTGTAATCAATAGCAGAGTAACATCTTAAATATTTGAGTCTTAAATGGTGTGCTGACATTAAAAAATAAATAAATGCCTCTTCTTCCTTTCCACACAACCCTGAAATATGCTTGCTTATGGGAGTCACTGTGTAGTAGTGCAACTCCACTTATGTGCTTTGAGGATGTTGCCCCGAGGTATTCCACTATCTGTGTGTACAGTTTGGTTTTAAAACACGATAGCTAGGCATAAGAAGACTGAAGCAGTTTCATTTAATGTGGAAAAGAGAAAGTCAACTTTATAAGTAATTAACTAATCTTCCTGTAGCAGAAATTGAGGATGTAATTGTCTTAATTGAGACAATAAGTCAGTGTTGTCTGTGTTCCCTGAGAGTTGTTGTTTTTTTTTCTTCCCAGAAATACTGGAAGAGCATAGCTGTGTTTAGTGGCTTAGTGACTCTTGCCACAGGCATTTTTACTGCTTAATAAATCTTGTTAACTACATTTTAGCCTTTGCCTGTGGCTGTTTCAGAGTTCAGTTCTTAGGCACATGCAAGTTCTTAGGCGCATGTGCATGCAAGGTGAGGAAAGAATATAAAAGTTAGTGTGGTTCAGCTTCAAAATAGATTTTCATTGCGAGGTGCACTGATGATCTACAATTATTCTGTCAATGATGGGGTAATAAAGCACCTTCACATTGACTACCTTCTGAGCACCATGCAGGGGGATGCTTAGGAGATGCTGTCTGGAGTATTGGTGGCAATTCCTATGGGTAGGGTGCTGCTCCCATTCCACCTGCTGACAGCTTGTTCCTGCAGTGGAAAACTGTCATTAACTTCGTGGTTATGTGGCACGCAGCTGGCTGTGCTGCTGCACTCGAACTGTATCGAGAAACTGAGCTGCTGTATTGCATGTGGATGTGTGGGTATAGAGTTCCCCCATGTCTGCACACACATGTGCACAGATTTGTTTGTGAAGTACGTGTAATGTTTTGCAGGGCTATATGCTTGATGTGCCCCACTATCCTACCACCTGGGCGGTCATGCTGGCTCACCTAAGGGGCTGTGGGCAGTCACTGTGGTGGGAAGGGGTATTTTAATCCATGTTGCTGTCACACATGGTTTGATATCAAATCAAACCTGAAGTGATCCTTGCCCTAGGGCTGACTTTATATGTAGCAGCTGATGAGGAGCTTTAGTTTAACACCAAAAAAGGCATATGTTGCAATTTTCCTTTGGGACTAGCTATAAATAATGAGATGTGCTAGTTGACATCAGGCTTGGGATATGACGACTTTTTTAATTATACTTAGCAGCTTTTTTTTGTTGTTGTTGTGGAATGCCTTATCTAAGACAAGATCCTGGGGTTTATTCATAGTAACTCTGTCAAAGCTCTTAGTCCACAGTCACTCATGTTTTCTCGTGGGAATTGTACAATCCACTCTGTGTTAGTGTGGAAGCACAGGTTGTTTTACATTTGAGAAAGAACAGCAGTGAGTCAGTAGTCTACCAAGCAGTGTTCTTACAGCATTACTTTTTTCTCAGGCATCTGATGCTTTATAACTGGAGTTCCTTGCTGCTTGTTTAATATATCTTAAAAAATAACATACACTTCTTTCTGTAGCAGACACAGCTCCTTTGGTAATATACGACATCTTGTGCGGTGCACCCTGCTTGTTACTAAATTGGTGAATGCAGTATGTAAATTCTGTACACTCTCCAACATGGTGAGATAAGGGCAAAAGGGCAAGTTTGAGCTGCAAGAGCAGCTTGCAATGTATACAAATACAGCAGTAACCTAGGAAGCCCCTGCTATTTTTTTGGAATATGTTGCTTTTTCACTTATTGGAAGATAACTGCTTTTTCATCTATTGGCTAGCTTTTAAGCAGAAGCCAGCTGAACTGAAGGTTTGAAAAACAAGAAATGAGTAATCAGTGAATTCTTAGGTGTATTTTTTTTTCCTTAACTATTATTTTCTTGTGCTTATGAGACAGAGACGCTATGTGAGACAGAAAACAGTATTCCAGTTAGTGGCTGATGCGTTAGTCCAGATTTTCATACGTGAGTCATTTTTTTTTCTCCAAATGTGTTTTGGAAATGTTGTACCCTGACCACTGATGTCACGTCATGACGCTTGCAGTAGTTACAGACAGAATCTAAAGTCCCAGATTTTGTCAGGAATGACAGATGACTTCGGGGATTTCCTTTTGAAGAATGGAAAATAGCTCATTTTGTGCTTTATTTTAAAAATGTTAAATTCATATTATCTTTTTATCAAGTTGCTTGTATTTTAAAGGTACTTGTAATTGAAAAGCAGTTGTTGCATATTTATACAAGGCACCAATACTGTGTGACAGCTTTCTAAAAACATGATGTGGCTTTAGTTCAAGTATAAGTCTTGTATAGAAATGATACTGAATTTACTCTTGGTGTACTTTTATGAGTAGTTAGCAACCACATTCACTGCAGTAACAGTGAAAGAAAAGCTTTTCACTATAATGTTGGCTGCCTTGTTTACTAGTGGAAGGTTGCTGTGATCCAAACAGTACTTCCAGCAAAGCGTACATATTTGGCGAACAGCTGTCATCATTTGTTTTTCTTTTGAAGGATTCTTGGACATTGGATTTAAGGACAAGATTGGAAAAGTTCCTGTCTCTGACTCTCAAAGCCAGCCAGACTCCCAGGCTTCTCACTTTATTTGTATCCTTTTGAGAAAATACTTTGAAGATCATTAGAATTACTGTAAAGAGACAGTATACTTTATCAGAAGAGTATGCTGGTAAGATCTATTGTACAACTGCAGTAACATTGCAGTTTAATGTGTTTTGGTAGGAAACATTCAAAACTCTATGTTCAAAACGAAACTTTTGAAAAAGTAATGCAAAGACAATGTATGGATGCATATGAAACTGTGTATTTATTATATGACCCTTCTCTGCTTCTGTGTGTGATGTACAGGATACCCCAAAGCCCTACCCCTCTCTCTGTGTTTGTAAAGCTCTTAATCTTTTCAATTAGCCATTTCAGGGACTAGCTGAAAGTTTTCCAGGGCCTTTAAGGGTTCCAGAAATCACTGTTTTATTAAATGAGTTGTCTTTCAGACTAATTTTTCTTCTAATATTGTTTAAGCTGTGTTGTCAGGCCTTATTTGCAGGCTAACTAGCTGTATGACAAGATAATCTTCTCCATTTTTGGTCAGTATAGTTAAAGGCAAGGCAGATAGAACTAAACTGGAGTCTTTGTTTCTGCCTGCCTCCTGTTTTAACAGGACAGGTTTAAAATCCTTTTCTTCCTACATCTTACTCCATCCTAAAACATCATGCCACTGTGGAATTGAATGAGAGCTGGAAATGATATTTTTCCTGCGCCATTCTATTTGCCAGGATAAGGAGCAATGATCAAAAGAGTCTGCTTTCACTTCCATGTTAGAGCAGTTTGTGTGTGTGTGTGCGTGACATGAACAGTTATATTTCTTTCTGTTTATTCATCTTTATGTAGAAACGTACTGGATCCTGACTGAACCCTAAATATTTGTTAGAATATATTGCTTGCATATTTGTATATTGATTTTATGAGCAGTTTGACTTTGTTGTTAATATATTTAGTCTGGATTTACCGTATTTTCAGATTTGGATCTTGTATGTGCAAAGGTCAGCAAAAAGTCTCATGTTTCTATATAACATTGTGCACTTGAAAGATTTTTATTTGTGCTAGTTGGTTGAATTTCTCGTTCTATTTCTGGAACTAAATGCATACTTGAAAAGAAATACATTTTCCTGAACAGCTCCTACTCATACAACAGAAGGAGAATGGACAGTGCAACAAAGGTAAATGTGGAGATGTGGTAAGGATATTCTGTAAGATTATTAGTGGCTATAAATGTAGCAAAAATTAGGCCTACAATGGACAGGGAAATATTTTGATGCATGTCAAAGTCCTTTGAAATCCATACCCCTGTTTTGGTGGTAGCTATTGCCAGGCTGCTTGAAGCCCATGGGCTTGAGCACAGAGATGTGCTGGGAATGGAAGGGGCCTGTTAGTGGGATTTGCATTTTATCTCTGTTCTGTCCTGAAATAAAATTATGGTAAAAACAAGTGGATAACTCTGTACAAAATGCATGCCGTCTCTCTGTTTTTAGTTATGATTAAAACATGTTTCCTCAGATTTGTTTCCAGTACCCACCTAGGCCTATCTGCATCTTCCGGGCTTCAAATCTCAGTCCTTTACTCTGAAGACTGTCAGACCTTCTTAGAGAAAGTAGATTTGTGTTCCTATTCACTTACCCTGTTTAAACTCTTAACATAGTACAAATTGGTATCTCCTAAGAATCTCTGAATAAGAATGTCTTAAATATTTCAAGTAGGCTGTTCATAAACACTTATCTAAGTAACTTGGGGTCCTTTAAAATGGTAATTTTAGTGCTAAATCCCATTAGATGCAGATGGCACTTGAAGTATATGCCTTTTAAAAATCAGCTCAATAAATAGAATTGAAGGTCCTAAGTCCATTGCGTTCATTTTTTCAATTGACTTTTTGTGTTCAGTTTGTTGATGGGAATTTGTATGAGCTCAGCTTGGGTTCCTAAAATTTTTCCTGCTGAGTTGCTTTAATCGTAGTTTTACCTTGATGATTTTTTAGTTGTGTATTGAATTAGAAAGAAAATGAAGGTCATCTCTCATTGTGAGGTTTGGGTATTTTATTTTTTTTTTGTAAGTTTGTGGTTTACATTGTTAGGATGTCATTGAGTAATAGAATGTCATTGAGTAATAGATCTTTATTTGCTAAAAGTCACTTTTTTTCCTTGTCATGGAGATTCCTGAAGCCGGTAATTCCATACTCTGATTTGAAAGACATAACTACTTGATTGGGCCACAGTTATTTAGGGCCTAAGTATTCTTTTATTTCGGTAAGTTCTGTGCTCTGTATGAGTACAGAGATGGTCATAGTATTGACTCCACACAGCCTTAATTTGTAGATCTGTTACATGCCTTAGAGTTTGAGTCAGGGTGGATTTTTCGTAAAGGCTATTTGAGGTCTGTCTCGTTTGAAGGTACCGGGTCTGAGACATTAGTTCTGCAGTATGTTTCTTGGATCACGTGGGATCTGCAGTATGTACTCGCTGCTGGAGAATGTTTACATTATCAGTGAAGGAGAAATGTAAAGAAAATTAATCGGTAACATATGAGTCAAGAGTGGTGTGGCAGAGAGTCCTCTTAAACAGCCTTTTGTAAACAGTTGCCAGTCATTAGTCTCACATACTGAAGCACTTCAAGTTTGGGTGGGAAGGTGCATGTGCTTTCAAAGATGTCCTGGAGAGTTTAGTGGGTGTGCTTTTCCTGATTAACCTGCTACAGTCTCTGGCTCTTCACCCATTTGCCAAATGTGCTTCTTAAGAAGACGTGACAAATGAGCAGAGATAATTACGTAGATGAGAGAGCAAGCCAAGAAAATGGGTATCAGAAGATGCCTGAAGCCAGCACCTTCACTTTGCAGAGCCACTGGCTTTACTGTACACTCTATCTTCCTAAACCAGGTTAGTCCTCTGCCCTTTATTGTCCCATCTTTCCCTCCACGTAAAAGCAATGATTGTGGTAGGTGTTAGGTCTGGAGCTTGTTTTTAATCCTCTATAACCCTAGTTTATTACAAGTTGGCTGTAGAAAGCATTTGTCTGTTGGGAGAGAGAGGGGAAAAAAAGAAACCAAACGTTGTGTTACTTTGTGCTTCATGTTCCAGGGGCAGTTTGATTGCTGCTGCAATGTCACTTAGATGGAAAAAGTGTCTTTCAGTGGCAGCTCACTTCTTCCCATTCTGACTCAGATTGCAATGATTTAATCTTTTAAGCAAGCGGCTAAATAGTAATTTTTAACTGGGCTGGTGGCTCCCTGATCCGTCTACATAAATGCTGGTATTGATTATGGGGATGTGGCAGGAATGCAAGGGGGGAAAATGGAGCAGTGTAGGACCAGCTCTTACAACAGCCATCTGTACACGGGTCAGTTACATGCCAACAGTGAAAGCTTCCTGCCTTGCTAGTAAGAGAAACTTTCATGAAATATTTTGCCTTTTTTAGTAAAATTACTGTTTGAGAAGATAGTGCTGTAAAAAATGCAAAATATGTCACGGTATCGTGATTCTTCTCTTTGACTCCCTTTTCTTGGTAAAGACCAGTGTTTATAACTGCTAATCCCTTGATTTAACAGAAAAAGGGTAAGTTGGCCGGTTTCTCAATTGCTAAGACTAGTACTTATGAGCTGTGTTGAGAATTGGTTTTGTAGTTCTTCCTGCTGGCTGTAGTTGGAAGATGTATTTTCATCACTGGAAATTTTCTGTAGTAGTCTATGTAAAGCAAGCAAATGATGAGAAGATTTATGTTTCATGACTTGATGTTTCAGACTTTCCTCTGAGTGAAAGTCACGCTCTGGATATATCCCCTGGAAACTTCTGAGCTGAAGTTGAATAAAAATATATTCCAATTTGGTCATCCAAGCAAAAGAAGAATGTGCTGAAGAGCAGTTTGCTTTGTATAACGGATGTTCTCAGGGTCTTAATGCATTTAGTATTCTTGTTTTGGAGCTATACGATACTAAGGCTGTGGTAGTTGTTTAGCAGTGGTGGCCATAAAATAAAAATTAACTCAAAGTTGAATGATTATTATCAAGGAAGAATAATTTGGGTTGTCTTGTTGAATCTATCGTAGCTCTTATTTGTAAGTGCATTTTGCTGTATTTGAACACAACCTGTGGCTTGTCCCAGCCTCTGTTATTTCACACGGGTTTTTGTCCCTCCAAGGAAGTATATAAAAAAATACCATTAGGGTTGCTAGATTTGCAGGTGGATAAAAAGCATCAGTCACAAATCAGGTGCAGAGTGCTGATTCTTGAATGATTCTCAGAAAGGAGCCACTCTAAGAGGGGAGGAGGCTGTTGGAATAAAATAACTTCTTTTAAAAAATTATAAATTAAAACATATAGATTAGAAGTAAGAAAATGTACCTTCTCCGCATTCTGTGCTTTATTTTAAGACTGTAAATTTATAGCTAAGGTTTGTAGCTGGTTTATTAATACACTTTTTTCTCTAAAAGGTCCCATAAAAAGTTCATTTTGCTAAATTTTCTGAAAGTAGAAATGAGCTGTTGTGCCATCTATTGCTTTTCGTATAAATGGGATAAAACCAGCCTATTTCAGAAACCCTGTAAATCCACAAGATCTATCAAGATCAGAATTCAAAAAGCTACATGATGACTTACCTTTTTCATTACCTTTTTCATTTATAATGATGGACTTATGGGCAGTTCTACCTGAACAGTATTGTTTGACAGCCTTGTCTCTGAAGTCCACGTGTTTATTGCTTTAAGATTTAATTTGTCAGCAAGTAACTTCCTGTACAGTTACTTGGGTGATATTTACACATATTGCAGATAGCGATATACCAATTACAGCTTGACAGTAGAAGATAACTTGTGAAGGTTCTGCGAGATAAGCCATGGTATTTAGATACCACTTTCACTCCTTGTTCTTCACTCTGCTGATTATTACCTTGTGCGCAAGCCACCATGGAACAGAGCAGAGGTTTGTGCCTGACTTCAGAGAGCAGGGGAGTAAACGGCGAGGGACAGTTGTATTTTTAAATAACTGTACATAAATTGTCCACAGCTTGTTTCTCATAGCTGCAAGGTGTTCAGCTCAGCACAGCAGTATACACAGCAGTTGTGCATGCTGAGTTTTTTTTCAAACAGAGCATAACTGTGCAGTAAAAGTTTATATTGCTGTAGGATTCTCCAGATAACCATCCTAAGGTTTTCCACTTATCAGTTATGTTTCCCAGCACTTCTGTGATACGGGAAGGTATGATTTGTATTGTTACGGAAAGAGATAGTGAATCATGAAAGCGCATGATGGTTTCCTTAAAGGTCATGGACAAAGTTTGTTCAAAGCCAGGAAAAGGAATTTAGAAAAGTTTTTAGAAAAGTTTTTCTGATTTCCAGTTTTTCATCTTGAGCTATTTACTTTCCTTTTCTGCCTCCTGGGTCTGTGTGGACCTGAACTGTGTTATATGAGGCTGTTTGGAATGCTGTATTCGAATCCAAGAAGTTTTGAAATCTGTGAAAAAGAATTCTACCTCTGTTTGGAATTCCATAGTCAAGCTAATTCCTGCACCTTGTTTTAACAGAAAGTTTTATGGTAAATATTCAGCCTGTTTGCAGATGGGTGCTAGCTCTTTTTCACAACACAGGAGCAAAGCTGGCTTCTCATCAAACTATTTTAAAATGTAATGTTTTAGCAAAATACAGAAGCATCAGGAGTAAAAATAGCGTTATTGTGCCTCTTTTCATAGTTTTGTCTGGTTGTAGGGATGCCTGCTCTGGTTCCAGCTCTAGATTGTGTTCCTGACTTCCATGTATAATGTTAATTTTGATAGGTCTGAAAACAGGAATGAGGGACACAGATTTTGGCATTTAGTTTGCTTCTTTCATCTCTAAATTAACTTAATCTGAAGAAGCAAAATGTATTAGGAATTTTACTTTTCTTTAATTTAGACAATATAAATAGAAATAAAAAAGAAAAAATGGTGTTATTTCCAGAAACTGAAGTGGGTATTAAAAGTAACTAATATAGGTCACCATAAACAAGTAAATAATGGAATCACCTGAAAAAAAATGTTGGAAAATTGAAGGCATCTATGATCAAATGAAGTAGGGAATTCCCTGCCACTTCTAAGAATCCATTGACTATTTTAAGAACGCATGGGGAGCTGGTTAATTTGTATGTAATCTTTTTTTTCTATGGGCTGTTCCATTTTCTTTAAAAGATGCAAGACGTAGTATGTATTGTAGAATATGTAGAGACCTACATAACTTAATTGTCAATGGACTATGTCTATAAATCAACAGGAAAAAACTCCCAGCTTTACAATGTAACCTTCCAAGCACTTGCACTAATCTTTGTTACTTTCTCCTTTTCTGTTTTATTTTTGAAGTAGCAGCTAGAGCTTTGCAGTTACTCTGTAATGTTTTTACCTACTGTTACTTTAGTGAATGTATAAGATGGTGCATGCATCTGGTGTGTAGGTAACAAGATCACTTAGCCACATCTGGGCTGCATTTTGTCACTAATTCTTCTGTTTAGATGATCACACTCATTTTGTCTCTAACAGCACAGAACTTCTTGTATTAGGACTTGTTTTAAAACAGTATCCTTTTCACAAGACTTTTATTGTCTTGTAGTTATATTGCTGCAATATATAACTGTGAAGCAATTGATTGTGCAATTAAGATAAGTACTTGTAATGATTCCACACTGCTAGTGTGGAATTATCCTTGCAGTGAAGTTCTTCCCTTTGGGTAGAGTTCCACATCAGCCAAAGTTGTCCCTTCAGAGCAGTAAAAATGCTCCTGGGTTCTCTGCCCTTTTAGTTGAAAAGGTGATTTTATTTCCTTTTTATTATTATCTTGACAGAAATGTTGCAACATCTTCATCAACAGCTAGTGGAGTCTGAGCACAGGACCATGACCTACCTGAAGCGATTTAACAAAATGCAAGCAGACTACCATAATCTCATTGGAGTCACTGCAGAGCTTGTGGATTCCTTGGAGGCAACAGTCAATGGCAAGATGGTAAGAGGTGACTTGGATGTGTACATACTTCACTCCTTCCACCCCCCAAAAATGGAAGAGAGAATGCCACTAAAAAGTGAATTAAACTTAATAGTTAGAAGCATTTCTGTAAGTATTGTGTCTCTTTACTGATGAAACAGTGCTTGGGATGAGTTTCTTCCATTGCCCCTGTGTACTCAGAAATCTTGTAGAAAGTAGCATCGTCTCACAAGACCTCTCAGATCTCTCGTGGGAGTCTCCTTTTGAGCTTTGGAATAAGTAGTGATTAGAGGGTGTTACTGTGATCACTGACTGCAGTTCAGCCCATCAGAAATTCTTGTATATTTTAAAACAGCTGCCAGGTCTGCTTTAAGTTGCACAGTGGTGGAAACAATCTTCTCTATTCAAAATTTCGGTGAGGAAAAGCTTTACTCTCTGTTCTGTGAAGCTGAACTTGTTAATTTAGTTGGTAAAGGGAACTGGTTGGGGAGATGAGCGAGTCATTTACTGTATCAAATGGGCTACACATATTTATTTGCCTGGAGAAAAAAACAGCTTTCTTATGGGTATTTCTTATCCAATGAGGTTTTACACTTCATCTTTTGTGCAAGCAGGCCTCTGTGCTATAACTTCAGTATAACCTGAAGATGAATCTTAGAGCAGATGTTAGTGGGCTCTAGGTGCTTTTAAGGGATCTGTGAATTGTTAGCAGGGAGAATGACCTTGGAGTTCCCGTGCTGCTTGCTGAAATATCAGTATGTACCTTCCTCCTGTCATCAGCATGAAGATCTTGTGGCTTGCCACTCTGCAGCTGGGATTACTGTCTGCTTATATCACTACTGGAGGGAAGAATTTGCCTGCATGTGTGGATTTTGTTTTACAACAGATTAGGAAACGTATCTACTGATACGTTTCATGAGTTTCAAAAGCAATAAGAAACAGAGCAGTCATTTCCTGCCTACTGTTTCAGGCTTCATTGCTCTCTGAGGTGAAATTCCCTTACGTTCTGTGGTAGAGGATGGATGCTGGTTAATTTTTTTTTTTTTGTAAGCCTTGTACCGGGCAGTCATTTGATCCTTCCCAAATGTGTCCAGTTGATGGTGCTCTTTCGTTAGGATTCTTGGTTTCTGTCACTCCAAAGCGGAGCTGGACACTGAGTAAAATAATGTTGAAATTACAGCATTCTGAATTTGAAGGGTCTTGTTTTCTTGCTACAAGTGTCCCTATTCCCCTTTCTATAATCTCTCTCCTCTGTTTTGGGGTAACAAATAACTATTCTGCAGTTAGGCAGTTCTGCTGTGGTGTAGATTTCTCAGAACAAAAACTCTAAACCCGCTGAGATGTTTTGGCTTGGAAAGTAAAGTCCTGTACTGCATAACTTATTTTTATTCTCTCTTCTGTACAACTGTGATTTAAATTCTTCTCTTCAGATAGGTAACACTTCAGTGTATCATTGTTTATGTCTAAAGCTTAAAACTGCTTCATACTTACTGTTGGAGAACTTACTTCCTGACAGAGGAAAAAATATATGCAAACATTGGTGTGACAATTCACTTTTTCTTCCAGATTCTGAAATTTCTAATGCAAGTTCTGAAAAGTATAGCTATTCCCTGATGAAGAAAGTTTACAATTGTCTTAATTTCTGAACAAAACTATAGCTTGAGTACATACCTTGCACTTGCATCAAGTGTGTGGTTTCTAGCCCTCAAAAACCCTCAAGTATACAAACGCTTGTCTGGTAGAAAATATCGGTTTTATATAATCCTGTTCTCTTGTTATATTTCCTAATTTTTAGATCACACCAGAATATCTTCAAAGTGTTTGTGTTCGCTTGTTTAGCAATCAGATGAGACAAAGTGTAGCACAAAGTATTGACTTCACAAGGCCTGGAACAGTAAGTATTAATGTTTGTGTTTTGTTTGTTTTTTTCCTGTTTTGTTTTGTACAATACCACTTGAGCTGTGTATTAAACAAGGGATTTGAAATAGTAAGAGATGAAAGATAGTGTTTGCATAAGAATGTGGCGTAAAGTTTTGTTGATCTTATCTGCTGGTGAATGACAGTTACGTAGTTATAGCTGCATAAATATGATTAATTCTCTTGTTATGGTAACACAGTGAGCTGTGCGTTTGTTAAAACTGCTAACGATGTGGGTTTTTGGGGGGGGAAAAAAAAGCTAATGTCTTTAGTGTAGTTTGATGGCATGTACATGTATTAATCGATTTTAATGTAACTAAGAGGAGGTGGTTGCATTGCTCCGTTCTGGACACATGCTCTGTTCCTTTCTGCTGTCAGTGATGCTCCTATAATCCCAGAGTGAGTTGGTTTAACCAGCAAAAGAAGGAGCATCAGACAGGATAATGAGAACACGTGGGGAAAAGAGGAGGAAGGGAGGACTTCCCTTTTTTTCTAAGAGCTGTTGTTAGAATCATACACCTAAGCTACCTTGTTGATTTAGATGATGGGCTTAGCTTCATATCTAAAGTTCTTCATTCTTACCAACAAGCATCTCAGGATGCCTGTTTGGTTTTTTGATTCCCTTTCCATCGGTCTCTTGTTATTGTCAGATGGCTACAGTTTACCTGGCTGCTTGTGCCCATTTCTGCTCCACTCAGTCTTTTATGCCATTGTGGAGTGGGAGCTTTTTTTTTTTTTTTCAGCAGCAGAACCATCTTAGGATAGTTTCTAGTGTCCATGAAACTGTGCCTGCAGGTGTGAAATATTACATGACTTAATGATAGTGCAAGAGCTGTTCAGTGGCACAACCTGTTTTAATACCTAGCTTGTTCAAATCTTTTCTTGCTTCATGTTTTTCAAATAAGTGTTAATATTAGAACTCCTCAAACATTTGAATAAAATAGTGTGCCACTGCTTTAGAATGACGTGCCAAATTCATGACTTAAGCTTATTATCTTGGCCATGGCAGACATTCACGTGTACTTAACTTTGCTGCAAGAGAGCTCTGTGAAGTGTCAAAGGAAGAGCAGAAGAAAATAAGATTCTCATTCCTTGTTCTAGCCAAAATTTTTAATAACAAAACCATTACGGGTACATTTCGTTCCTCTTGAAGATCTGTTACAGAAAGATGAGGAGATAAGAATATTCCTTTTTCTATGTTTCTGTGTTATTATTTTCAGAGGTAGATATTATTCTTCATTGTTCTTCAAGCTGAATTAAATACCCTTGCTTCATTGTTGATGGTCAGAACTCCTGTCTCATTTAAGAGGTGCACTCTTTTGCAGGCTGTGTTTCCAGGGGTTCAGGAAGGAACCGGGATCTCTGTCAGCTACCTCAATGTCAGGGATAGTCTATAATTCCTCTCTGATGCCCACCATGTCTGTGGTGCGTGGTTATGCCATGGCCCACCCCTTATCATAGCCCCCTCCTCCTGCCAGCCTTCTAACCAACACTTTTCTGGGATCTTCCATTATTCCTTATCGACAGCTTTCCAAGGTAATGCTTGGTGTACCCCAATCATCTGCATTTTGCCATCTGGTGCAGCCATATGCACTCTGCTGTCTGTTCCTGTACTTTAGTTGCACCAAGGCTTCCCTTCTTCTACACTTTCAAGTTGCTCCATTTGTGTAGTGCTGCCTTATTATTTCTGTTCTTTGTGTCATAAGTTGACCCTCTGATCTCTTGAACCCTTTTGGGAAGTGAGCAGAGGGAAAAGTGTCATCCCTGTGGAAGTTGCTGATTTTTGTCTTTATCCACTGCAGAGTGTACAGAAGTGATTGAAACTGCATCTTCACTGATAAACACTGGGTGGATTATTGCTAGACATGTAGCTTTTAGCTATAAATGTCTGTTTCATTCTCTGTGAAAGAAGACTTTATAAGACTTTTCAGATCAATAAGTGATCATGGAAGAAGTGGGTAAGCAGCAGTGTATAAACACAGTGTATCAGCCAGGATCTCTGTCACACTTTTTAAGAACCAAATAGACCAATAGTTACTATTTACCAGGAATGGTTGATGCTTGGTTGCTCCTCCAGGACAGATTAGGTGACAATTCAAAATCTCTTCCTTTTTCTTCTACAAAATGATGCTCAAATAACTATCGACCTTCTGTATCATGTTTGCTTACTGCTGCTTCTCTAAAAGCATCTCTAAAAGCTTATTTGCTCTGGAAATGCATTTGCTGCTGTACTTGTGCCAATGTGCCCACTTTAACATAATCTCCAGCTATGTAGGTAGGTCAGAGAAAGAGGTTTTGATGGTGGTGGTTTTTCTGCTCTCCTGGAAGTAAATTTTTGCCTCCTTTCTGTCCCAAATTTACTAGGTTAAGCTGAGTATAACTGTGTTCTTTTGGCACAGTTGAATCTGTTTTTATATGAGGTTTTACTCACATAACTGTTTCAGTGTGACTTTATGGCTCCCCTACCCGCAGTACTTGAGGCAGTTGTTGTGCCATCAAAGTTCTCTAGGGAAGGGCCAGGACAACTATAGCACTGAGTCTATTTAGATTAAGGGTTTCTCAGCTGGTTCAGGTCACTCCTTGACAGTGAGGTTATAGTAGCTACTGTGGTTGAAATCTAACGCCGTTTCTATAAGCAGGCTCATGTACTCAGGCAGTCTGAGGCATTAGCCAAGTTACGGAGACGAGGCTAATCACAGTCCTTGCTGTAGACCTTGACTAAAACATAACCAGGTTTCCCAATCTTATCCTTGTATCCTCCTTGATTAATAATATTTTCTTGTGTATTTCCCATGTAAAGAGTTTTGTTTTCATATGTGAACAGCAAACATGCAGAAACACAAATAAGTAAGAAGAACAAATATATACGGTATGTATATAGCCCCAAAATACTTCTAACCACTCCCTGCCCCTGTTGATCCGTGAAGCCAGATGAGACTGACTAAAAACCAAATTCAGACTGTTGGTCATTAAGGCATCACATTACTTTTTCTTTAGGAGTTCCAAATTCCTCATTGTTATACACTTAGCTGTTATTGTTCTATCCTTAAGTGGTTTCAGGTTTTCAGATAAGTTTTGGAATAAAGCTGGAGGCATCATGACCTAGTCAACATAGCAGAACGCGTTTGCAGCGTCTGTGCTGGATTTGTGTTGGACGGTCCCATCACTTCTTGCTTATAATTAATTAGAGTCACTAGAGTGTGGTCTTGCCAGCTACTCTGTCTCACAAAGCTCCTTCCACTGTAAGGAGCTATCACCTACAGAACTGCGGAGGGAAGAGACTAGGACTCCTTTGCTCATCCTCACCATTAAGTTCACTGTGTAGGCAAGATAAGCGAGGTGTGGTTTTTTTTTTTGTCTATTTCTAAAGATTGTTTTCAGCCATTAAAAGTTTTTTTTTCCTTTTTTTTTGTTTGTTTTTTTTTCCTCTTTGCCAACAGAAATGATTAGGCCTTTATAGTTTACCTGGGTTTTCAGTATTCTGGATTTGGCCTTGTCCCAGTGACACCATTGATGTCAGGCCCATAAATCCCTAAATAAATTAATTTTGGCGGATCAGTATCTCTATATAGATTAGCAGCTAAGGAAATCATTAGGTAGAAAGCTCCTTTTTTGTTGTACTGATACGCAGCCTTAAATTTCTACCGCTTAGGGGATGTTTAGATGTTTGTTACGTTGTTTGGGAAGACTGGATGCTTGAGTTCAGTCAGCTGTGCTGGCACAACTCAGGACAAGCCAAATTTGGGAGCAGGTTCTGAGAGCAGAAGATGTTAAAACCATAAGTGCTTCTAGGAGGAGTGTGTTTTTAGTCATCCCTTAGCTGTGTAATGAAGTTTTTAAAGGCAATTAGGAGGTGATGCTTCAATTTTTTATTTACTGATAATTTCTGTCCTTGAAGTAAATCATGCACAGATAAACTTAAGAACTCCTTTTTAGGAAGGTAAGAAACCATTTTTGCTTTCTGGCTGCGAACAGGCATTCTGTAGTCCCGTTGACATTAAAGACCTGCCACCCAGTGCACAGTTGACATGGTCTAAGATTGTAGCATCATGCTCTGAGATGTGTACCTGGGATTTATGGTGGATTTTGTAGTTTCTGCTACAGCACAGTGGTAGTTTTAGGGTAGACTTAGAAGGAGGCCTGTACCAGTGCTGTACCCAAAATGATGTATTGCCCAAGGAAGTTAAAGAGTACGCCTTGGGTTATATCCTTGGTGGCATTACTTGTCTGTAAACTTAATAATGTTCCCAGTGCATTGTACTTGGTGCACAGCTTTTATTGCCTGAAAAGCAGTGTTGTATAATATAAAGGCTTGAGGTCTCAGGCTTTGAGCTTAGAGCAAAAGCAGTGTGTATCACTTACTAATGTGTGCTGTTACTGTACAAACATCAGCTTCCTGCTTTGTCTCCTGTGGTTAAAGGCCCGTCCTTTCATACTGAAAGAAATCCATATCAGAAGGACAAATCCCCAAACTAGTCTTTCTTCCAGAACTGGCTGTGAGACTTGAGGCAAGACCAAAGGACTTTCCCAGTGTAATCACCCCTGTGAAATCTTACTCAGTGAGGGTGTCTGGTGTTGGCTGTTGCCCTGTGCTCTCCTGCAAGCTGGCTTGGATCTCGTTCTGCAGAGCAGCTTTATGCCTCTTGCCAGCTCTGAGACCTCGTGGGTCAGCCTGTGAGCCTGATCTGCTGTCCATTAACAGGATGCATCTGGTGCACGTAGGGGGGGAATAGAGGCAGCAGCACGGCATTACAGATGGGAGGTGTTTCTAACGCTTCTGTAAGGCCCTATTGTATCATAAGGCTTTTATTTTTCCTAGCTGCAATTCAATGTAATCCCCATCTTTGATCGTTGTCATTTGACGTGTGGGTGATAAGGAATCTGAGAAAATTGTCAGAGCAAAAGGTCTGCCTCTAAGAACAGGAGGTCAGAGCACCAGTTCTGACAAGTTGAGGAAGCATTCATCTGAAGATTTAATCAGGTTCCTGACTTCCTAATGTTTGTTTGGGCAGGAAATTGATGTGGGTAATGGTGGGTAAATTTGAAATGAATAGTTCTAAATACAGTTACTTAATATAGTCCCTTATATTTGTAAAACACTTAATAAATTGTTTTACTTTTTTTTTCATTCTTCTAAAGCTGATTTGTCCAGTGGGTGAGAAACATGGGTTGTAGTCTTTTGTTGCATGCAGCTGCGTCTGTTTAATATACATCATGATGCCTAAAGGATTCTGGCTCTTTACTGGCTTGGATTTGATCCTCTGAAGTGTTGTACCTTCAGTCCCCATCCAACGTAGCTCTTAAGCATGGGCTCATTCTTAAATCCATGAATAGCTTTTCCGATTCATATATGATGCACACCTTCCTGGAATTTCTTGAATTAGGGCTTCTGTAATAAGATTCTCTAAATTTTGGATTAAAGGAAGAACAGGAAGCTCTTCTTCACGTGTGCAGTCTCCATCAATAGCCAAGATGCGTCCTTAACCACTGGAAAATGGTTCTGTGACTAGAAAGCTGTATAGTTAATTGCATATATTGTTCCTCTGTCATGGAATAGAATAAATACCCATTACGTTTTTGCTGCTATTCAGTCTGATTATATTTACCTGTCACTCCAATTAGTTGAATTAATCTCCCTTGCAAGATTTAGATGTCTTTTGGCACAGCTCTTTTGAAGCTGGGCTGGGAAGTTCTGTTACACATTGGACAAAAGCACCAGTTCTTTGAAGTTAGCCTGTGACTCGCAAACTAAACAGGGTAGATTTTTTTTTTTAATTTGTTGGAAAAGCCATGAAGACTAGCATGTTTTTTGTTTTGTCTCCCCATAGTATGCACTTTTTTCCTCAAAAACTTTATACTGCAAACATGAACATGCCACCAAGTTGTAATAGCTAATGGCAGCCATTCTGTTTCTTATTTGTGATAAAGTTTTCAGCATCATCAGTCCACACGAAACCTAGGAGACATGGAAAACAGAAGTCACTTTTTATTATTCTGAGCCATTCAGAGTGGATTCACCAAACGTTAAGTGGATGTACACTCTTTCATTTCAAAATACTACATGCTGTTTGCTGTGAATGTAACTAAGCTTTTATTAGGATGAAGTACATATTTCTTCTCCATCCTTGTCCATGGGATGCTTCTTGTATGTTAATATGATAAAGAAGAAACAATCTTACCTTCTTGTATAAACAAGGATAAGTCCCTTTTTTCTGCTGTCACAGTATGTGATGCCTTTTTCACATATATCTGCTACCTGCCGCAATTTGGGCATCTTCTTTGTATGAACTGTTACATCCCTCATCTCTAAAGGTAAGGCATTGACATCAGTAGAGGTTTCCGCAAACTTTTCCTGTTACTGTCCTCAAATCCTTTAACATCATCTTTGTCTTGATGCTCGTGGACTTTTTCATTGGCTTAGGTCACGAGTGTGTTGAAATTCCATCTCATCATGCCAGAGGTTATCTCCTGGTTTCTTTTTGCTCATTTGTTGTTTCTCTCAATGTTGCCTACTGTGTTAAATTGCCTCAGCCAGGAACTGCGTGTGTGTTTACATGTGTATAGTGCTGGTAGAGTTAAAATACTCATTCGCTTCAGGGAATTCAACTGCTCTTTCTAGATATTAACCTGTTCTAGGTTAAATCAGTTAAAGATAGTAGTCTAAGTAAAGAGAATATGGACATATTACTAAACTACTCAAACCATGAACAGTCTTTGATTTTTTACTTCAGTAGTTAAATCATAGGTTTCCTTCTAGAGACTTTTCCTTAATGTAGCCTTGGAACCCTTTGGGATGAGGAATAGGTAATGTTGCTGAAACACCTCAGGTTGTTTCATATACTGGTGAGAAATATGCTGGTGAGAAATTTGAGCCAAGTATGGAGAAAATCCACAGCTGCTTTCTCAGAAGCTGAGGTCTTCTGATTGATACCATGTTCATTGGTACCTGTCTCTTTGGCTGCTTCAATGCAGAGAACAGCAATTCATGGATCCACGTAAATGTGTCAGTGCTTGGTACACAGCTATTCTAACAGACAGTTGCAATGGAATAATGTGCAAGCTAGGTATGTTACAAGAGAAACACGCTGATTTCAGTCCTAAAACGTAAAGTATGTGGAATGGGAGAAGATGCTTATACTTTTCTTTTCAAAGCTAACGGTCTGTTAATACTTAGCTAATTTTAATTTGTTGTTTTCTTAGAACTGTGCATTTCTCTGTGATTTATTTCTGTTAACTTGTGTTTTTTTTTTTAATCTTCTTTATTTTAATGTGTGCCTGTTTGCCCATAAAGGGATATTACTCTATGAGCCCTTGTGATGACGGATATGTAAGTGTCTATATCTTTATATCCTTTCACATTGCCTGCTGCAGTCTGTCACAGTTTGTCTCTCTTCGTTTCACAATGTATAACAATTTTCTATGCATTTTAACTTGTCATTACATTAACCGTATGGTTCATACAGAGCCAAAAACATGTGCAAGGCTTGGAATTTATGCATGGAGAACAGACTAGAAGTTCTAAGTAACCTTATGGCTTTTAATACATGTAACACAGCATGTCAACAAAAGCACAGCTTTGTCTACAACTTCTCACGTGAAACATAGCTTCTTTATAATACGCGGAAAACTATTGTTTCTTCCATGTGAAAGTCAGTGACTATAACCTGAAGTCTTCAGTGTGCCAACACCATCTGATCCCACAGCACCTTTGAGTAAGCAGATAGATATCAGTGCTTAAGACAATGCAGTAAATTGAACTGTGCTTGTTAGAGGTGCATCTTATTTTTTGGTTTGTATTTTGAATTTGTAAAGTGAAACTTTGTAGTAGATATTATCAAATTGTTTCATGCAATTAAAATGGCCCTCTTCCGTTGAAAACTGAAAAGCAAAACAATATTTTGTGTACTGCCTGTGACTTCTGTAACCCAGATGGAAGTCTGTATTCTGGCAATATCACAAGTACACCATAAGTATCTCATTTTGCCCATAGTCAGTGCATTCTTTGTAAAGAGAGGAAATGAGTCTACTTCTGAGTAACTCAGTTTGTAATCAAATCATAAAAGTGATTGACACCAATTCTGAAAAATGTCAGTCAGTATTCTACTTGAAAATCATCCATATTTGTTTTTTTTTTCTGCTTTGTTAGGGTAGAACAAGATTTCACTTTTCAAGGAAAATTGTACATTTTCCTCAAATGTATTCCTCACCTGGAACTGTAGTAGCCTGGGTGGACAACCAGCTTCCTACTTAAAACAACATTTTATTTTGAGAAATAATCACTGAATGCAATGGATTATTCCTGATGTGCTTCTTTTTGTCTTGACATAGAGAATGTTACTCACGTTCACCTGTGTGATCACAGGTACCAGAAGACCACCTCTATCGAGCAACCTGTTCCTGCTGATGATGTGAACGGTCATACTGGCCAGCTTTTGCTTGGTGTTTAGCATTCTGTTCCCTTTCATAATGGTGTCTTTTGAGATTGAGAAAAGCTGTTTACAGATGTGAAATTATCTTTGCTAAAGAAAAGTTTTGCCCGTATGCAGGGAGTCTTAGTACATTCTGCATTGTATAAATTATATGCAACTATCTTACAACGCAGAATTATTTATAATTTTTAAAGCTATCTGGCTAATTCTGGGATATTTCTCCAATACATAGATTGGTTTCCTCTAGCATATCTGCATTGTTTATATATAGTATTTTCTTTTATCTGTCATCTATTGTTATTACGCTATCACGTAGTATCACAGGGTGACTTTTTTTTTTTTAATACACTTCAAGTCTGTTACAGAAACTGTTTTACATGCCAACTAGGAAGTTTTCATAACAGCATATGTCTAGTATAAGTAAGATTAAAAAAATAATAATTAAAAGCATTTGCAGATCTTCTTATGAAATAAATTTGCGTGGTCCCAGTAGAGACTTGCCAGGTTACACAAGCTCAAAACCTAACATGCAACGAGCTGCACGTAGCAGTCTTCTTGTCACTAGTGTGTAACGGATGAGCTGAACATACACATTTGTGATTTCTAATCACACGCACAAATTAGCTAAACTTTGGCTTTACTCCTCATGTATTCATCACATATCTTGGAGTATTAATTCTGAATTTGCATTGCATTTACACTGAATTTTATAGCTCATTTTCATAATGGTAACTGAGGTCAGAATCTGGCTTTCAGCTTCATCCTTCAGCATATTATGAATATATACATCAAATTGTAAAGTGGAGATGATTTGAGTACAGGACTACAGGATTTGATAAAATCAGTTGTGTTTTTGGCTTCCAGATGAAATGCATCTGTTTTCTTTTATAAATATTGATATTTTTTTCCCTTTGAACTTCTTTATTTTATTCCATGCTGTTCATATTCAAGCCTTTCTTCTTTCAAAAACGAAGGGCTGCCATCTGTGGCTAATCTGCACTGTGACAAAATTACTTAATATGGCACCTGGTTTGGCTTTGGTAAGAAACAATACAAGCATAAGTCATACCCCATGATCCTACCAGAATGAGCTATGCTTGGGCTGTTTTCTTGTGTTTGTTTCTCTTCTTTCCTTAAGACACCTGTTTTCTGCATGTGCTTTAATTATGGAAAAATGGTTCTGTCCTGCGGTTCTGCATGGAAAACATTTTGTTTGAGATTAAGTCTGTTAATGTTGGGAGTCAGGTATTGCAGATAAGTCATGTATACTGTGTGTTCTTCATAATCATTCATTGACTGGTACTGTACAAAATACTTATGCAGAAGCTTGAATTAGTGTTTAACCTATTCCGGGAAAGGTAAGACCAAGGAAAGGACATGGGAGGAAATGTTAAGGTTAAAATACCTCCCGAAAGCAAATCTTTTTCATCTGAGAAATTGATGGTAAAGAGGAGTTGACTAGGAAGGGCATTGTCTGGAGAATAATGTCGGGTGCAGAGTGAGAAAGATACCTTTGGCAGTGCTGCTGACTGAGTCTCACTCTGTGGCTCTGGATTCATCACCTGGAGATGAAGACTGTAACGGTTCTACTAGCCTCGTAAGAATATTGTTATTTACTGCAGAGTGCTTTTAGGGCTATGAATGCAAAGTGCTGATGGTTTAACTTTATCTCCTACAACTATTTAAAATTAGTTGTTTTCAGTTTGTTTCCTGCATCCAAGTACTCTCCTCCCTGCGTTCCCCTTGCTTTCTCCCGTCTCTCCCCTCTCCAACACAGTGTGGCTGGAAGTTTTGCGCTGCTGCCACAGAAATGACAAAATGAGGGTTCAGCACTTGGATTTAAGAACACCAAGAAGAGAATAAACAATCTGTGAGGATTTAAAAAATTTAAAAAAAAAAGGCCAAAATGGACCCTGTTCTGCCCACTTTCATTATAAAAACTAGTCCAAACTGTCACTTAAGACTTGAAAATTAAACTTTTCCTCATTTAAATGTATCCCTTTGTCCCTAAAAATAGTTTTAGAAGACTAAATGTTTTTATATGTACCCGCAACAAGCAATTTTGCTTTTAAAAGCATGTGGCTAAAGTTTACAAATAACTTAAACAAAAATTTTTGATTTAAGTTTTGTAACAGGGCAGGATTTTGTTCCTGAGCATCTCTTGGTTTTGCTTTCCATAGCAGGAATATGTTGAGGGAGGAAGGCTGGTTAAGCTGAAACTCCTGTCAGAAGTAAAATGTGTGAAAGCTTGGCCTTGGAGCTACTGTGTACAGAGATAACGGTGAAGAAAATGTCTTTTTTTCCACTGACCAGAATATATGGCTTAATTGCACTAACGGTGCTCCTGATTTAATGAAACCTAAGAGCTGCTTTGTAGAACCCAGCTGTGTTTGCGGTTTTTCCTTTTATTAAAGCTAATGCCCAAGTCAAGAACAAGAGCTTAGCAGAGATTTTTGGGGTTAGGTTATGTAAAGATGTTTAACTGGGTAAATATCCTGAGACTGGGAAATGTCAGATAGCACCAAAGAGGAGAAACAGAAGTGAACAAGCAAACAAATGTTATCTTGTGAACTGTGCAAGGAGGTGCTGAGGCTGAAGAGTTGTTTGCTTTGGTGGGCTGCCTGGAAGGAGCTGTGTAGTACACGTTGCCCCACATGGGAAATCGGAAGGGTAAAGGCACTTTGTGAGGGGCAGAAGAGCACTCTGCTTAAGGAATAGGAGTATTAAAGCAAGTTAAAATGAAATGTTAGAATGGTTCTGCATTTCTTCCTATTAATTAGAGAAGATCATGGGACTCTCAGGGGCAGAAAGTGAGGAGGAGCAGAAAGTAGCATGTATGTAGCATGTTATGAAAGTAGGTATGTCTTTCCTCTTAAAAAAATAATAGGATAAGAAGATGAAAAGATGAGAGTCTGTGGCTACAGGCAGCCTGGATGTTAAATAGAATGATCAGTGTTTGTTGGTAACTGTATTTAGATCACTTGTTTGAAAACTAGACATGGAAAATGCAGAGGAAGAAAGGAGATCTCTGCCTGTGATGTGGTTGCACTCTTTCTTATCAGTGGTGCTGCCCGTGGTCAGGCAGGCTCCAAAAGGCAGGTGCAGGGAAGGACAAACCAGCCCTGAGAATCTCTCTGCTTTGCCTTGTTGAACCTGACGTAATATAAACCATATCCAAGTTGCTTTCCCAGGAGCACCGAAAGCTTAAGAGAGCTGCCCTCATTCTGCGTGGGTGAACCTGGGTCTGAGCAGGAAAGCGAGTGCTGGACCAGAAGGCTGGCCATCGAGGTCGTCCTGCCCTCGGAGCTTGAGTATAGGGTCAGCATCGTTATCCAGGGCCTTTTCGTGTGTGGTAACTGCAAAGCCAAACCTTTTTAAAGGCTGTGCTGCTCTCTAGCTGCCACCTTAAAACTAATTTGAGAATTAATAGGATGTTGTCCTGCTTGTTCTGATTGATTTTAAAAACCCTAATGTTTTTCCAATTGAATTGTCTTTAGTTTGAAATTTATAGAACTTTCCTAATCTTACACTTACCAGAAAGGTTTATTTGTGTAGATGAGGGATACGTGTTTCATTACCGGTTGTGGATCCTTTATTTGGATTTTGGTTGGAGCACATTTTTCTTTTTATGGCGGCAAAGAACTAGTGGGTAAAAGACTTTGCAGAGAAGCAGAGGGCTTTTATATTCATCTATTTCCTCTTAGTAACCTACTCTGTTTCTTATTGCTGTTCGTTGTGTCACGTTTTCATCTTCAAGGCCTCAAGGTCATTTCTTTTGCTTTAGGGTGCTACGGCCACTTTCTTCCATGTTTCCTTTAATGGAGGAGGGTGCTAAGGAAGCGAGAAAGTGATTTGTGACTTCATTGCACACTCAGGTGCAAGCTTGTAGTTTTTGAAGTGGAAAACAATTTTGTTTAAACAAAAGTAAACTTTTAATATTTATTTTATAATAATAATAATACAAATAAGTGAGGGGAAGACAGTTGAAGTGTTTGTGATACTTTGAAAGACTTCTCCACTGTGTAAAATAAACTAATATGTGAGAAGTGCTGTCAAGACAAGTTAATTTTGAAGTGCATGACCTGTTAATTAGCTATTGTGTGCAGGTCATTCATTAAACATAAACTTAAACATAATATAAAATGCTTTCTGATGCACATGTAAGCTTATTTCACATCTGAGAGAGCAGTTCCTTGTATTACAAAGGATACCCATGAGGTTTGTGAAATCTAGCACGTTCAAGAATATGTCAGCTGGTTTAATTTAATATTCTCTATGGTATTGCATGCCTTTTGTCTACTAAATCCCTCAGTTTTAAACCTGACAATAGACATGGATTATATAGCTCCCCTTGAAAGAGGCCAGGTTAGAAGAGGAGACTGGTTTTAAAGACCTAAGTGGTAATGAGAGATTTTTGACAAAGTAAGTAGTGAGGTCAATACAAAAGAAGACACAGAATATTCTGTGAATGTGGCATGTGGTTGACATCAGAATGCATGATATGAAGCGCTTCCGTGCCAGAACTGCTGCTTCTTGGCTCACCTACAGTTAGCTCTAGCTAAAAAATACTTATTAAACCAGACAACTTCTATACCGTGTTGACATTTTGACTTGTGCAACAATGGTGCCTTCCTATGCCCTGTGTCACACTGCAGCAGAGAGCAAATATCCAGGCTTAAATTGAACTTACCCTAGGCAGAATCCCTGAGAAATGGCATGCTGTTCCACATCCCTTTTGTCTGTACTAGAATGGATAGTATTTTCTTTACATAACTATATAGTTGTTTATTTAGGTGTATATTAATATCAGCAGGCAGTCCAATAATGTTAGTGTTAACAAGAGTGAATTGTAGCAAACTTGGATGCTGAAATACATGGTAGATCTCCACTGGAAAAGAATTACAGCTTTAAGGTAATACCATTTTTAAAATCAATAAATGTCTTTAACAAGGTCTTCATCTTTCTTAGTCGGCTTCAGATAGTGTTTTCTTCTACCTCCCCCCCTTTATTTTTAAATGCTCTCAGTGTAGGTAATACTTGGAGTATGAAAGTAAAGATAACATAACTAGATCATAACACAAGATGTTTTAACTTTTGAACTACTCTGAGGGAAAATAAATGAAGTCCTTTCCTTTTCTTTTAATCTGTGTTTCTAATCTGAAATGTAGGTTTTATAGGAAAAGAACTGCAGAACTTGAGTGAGATAATTCACTATGAACCTCATTAATAGCACTCCTGATATGATATTTGGACTCAACTGTTGTGATTTCTTTTTTTTTTTTTCCTGATCCAGGCTTCCACAATGTTAAGAGCATCAATAGCACCTGTGTAAGTATTTATTGAGGAGCTACAATTATATCTGTAAAGAGTAGGAGGAGGGGTTATTAGATTGAAGTGCGCTACCTGTGGTCTGCAAATGAGAATCAGCCTGTGTGCTTCCTCTGATCTCAGTGAACATTGCATGCAAATGTCCTCTGATCAGTATTTCTCTGCTGGGCAGGTTCAATAACATCCTAATTTCAGCAGGATGTTGCTAATCCAATAAATCTGCCACTCCACACCTGCGAGTTGGCTGCTTTATTTTCTTTGCTGTTTCCGCACAGTACGGACCTATTGTTGTAGTTGGTTTGCTTCCCCCAAATCCAGGAAAAGGGGGAATGGGTAAAATGTTTTTTTTTGTGTGCTTCAATATCAATTCTTTTGTGCTTAATTTAATAATTTTTTTGCTTATAAATAGAATAGATATGGTGTGTCTGAGGAGGTTTTTAGTTGTTTTGAAACACTTTTGATCCTTCCATTGTTTACAAGATAATTAAAGGGTCAACTATATATAGCATTAAAAATTGTTTTGAAAAGTAGCAGGATAGGAACAGAGGAGTAAAAATTGTTTTAGTGGAATTTATTTAAATAATAAAATTAAAGCATTGAAAGCAACGTTACTATTTTTATTTTTACTAATTTTATTTCTATTGCAGTATTAAGACTCAAAATAGCAGGATAGTATTGGCACATGGAATGTGATCCTGTATTAAATCTTATGTGGACCAGCATGGTCCAGCCGGCAGCCTGTAAAAACCCATTCAGCTTTGCCTTGGAGGAGACTTTGCTGTGTTTGTGAGGGCTTAGAGGTGTCGTTGGAGCTGCAGGTTGTTACTCTGTCTGTTCATAACCATGTGCTGAGAGCCACAAGCTGCTGTCCTTCAGCCCTTGTGGGCCACAGAGGGCAAAGACATCATTGAACTGATGGCTCTTTTGTGCTGCTAAAAAACTCAGATAAAATTTTTGTAGTTTAACATCTCCAAATTGGGATGACAAATGAGCTGAAAATATAATAGAATATTAAAAAAAGAATAAGTCCAGGTTTTAAAAACTTGTTTTAAGCCTATTATTTTAACATGGTAATAAAAATAGCAAAGGTGTAAAAATGTGGAAGCCTTTCTCCTGCAGCAAACTTCCTCTTTTGGCTCTTGTCACCTCAGTAACATCAGCTGCACTGAATAAGGAGACGGTTTTGATGAATGTCAAAATTCAGTGAGTGTCCCTTTTGCATTATAGAAAGATGCAGGATGTGCCGTTGTTGCCCTCTTTGGACTATGAGAAGCTGAAAAAAGATTTGATTACAGGGAGTGATCGTCTCAAAGCCTTCCTACTGCAAGCTCTGCGCTGGGTAAGTGGGATAGCCTCTGTACAAATCAATAGGTCCCTTCTGGAGGGGTCCAATCTTGTGGGCAAGCTGATTGAACTCTTCAACAGAACAGCATTATAGGCACCTTCTGTCTTTGTCAGTGAAGCTCGCTGATGCTCTTGAAATGGTGAAGAAAGCCCAGGCAGTAGGTGTGTATTTGTAGCAGTGTCCTCCCTTTCTGAGGAAAGCCAGATAGAAATTCCTGAAATCTCCAGTGGAAGTTATTTCTGATGTGTTTTTGAGAAAATTGTTGTTCCTGGCAGCTCCTTTTTCCATGTTTTGCTCTGTTTCAGATTTATATAAATGCTACTGTATCAAAGAAATACCTGAATTTAACCATCAGTTTTCCTTCATAGTCAAGGTATGCTACAGGAGCCTGCAGTTTTAGTTAACTCAGATCCTGTAATGGTATTTTGGGGAAAATTAAAGGTGACAACAGGAAATTTCATTTTCCTGCCGAAAAGGAAGCTGACACTTTCAAAGTGACATGTGAAAAGTGATAATAGTGAAATTCTGGTCAAGCTTCAATGTCCATTTTTCACATTTAAAAAAAAAAACAAAAAAAAAACGTGCAAACAAAAACTATTAGGTCTGACTGGTGGTTCCTTTAGCCCAGTATTCTGAGATCTCTTAGAAAAGCACCACATCTGTAGCTATTAGAGGGGCTTGTTAACTTTATGGGAAGTCATGCTGTATCTCTCTTGTATGGACAGTGATGATAGCTTATGAGTAACAGCTCTGTGATGGATCGCTTAGCTGACATCAGGTCGGTTCATTTCATCTCATTCCCTTAGATCACTGAGGTTGAATTCCTTTCCTCTGTGAGAAGAGGATTAATTTTCAACTATGGGGTATCTGCACCTTTTAAATCTTCAGTGGTCATCAATTCACATTACCATTCATTTATTTGACTGGATTATTTATTTATGTTTTTGTGTTGTGTTGTGTTTTGTTTTTTTTAGCGCTTGACAACATCATATCCTGGAGAACAAAGAGATACTGTCCTGCAGGCCTACATCAATAATGACCTCCTAGATTGCCACAGCAACTGTCAGGTCAGCTGGAATGGCTTTTCTCCAGCTTGTGTGCGATATTGCTGATTTGTTTCTATAAAGTGCTGATCAGAAAATATTATTGCTCTCTGGAGTGTGGGGGGGAAGCACTAGTACTGCCAAATTGTGTGATACGTTTAACTCCTTCGCCCCAGTCTTTAGACGTAATTGGCAAAGCTCAGCGTTACAGGAGTTCTTGATTTAGATCATCTCAGCAAGTGCATACAGTCCTCGTAGACAAGGGCAAGTTTGTCACCTCTCCTGGTTTTTGATGTCTGAGTTGAGCAGAAGCCTACTGAGCCCCTCACTTAGCAGTCAGCTCTTGTTTACGAGATGCTGCGTCTCTTTTTGAGTCAGTATGTGTTGTTAGATAATACACTCATTTTCACTGCTCTAGGATAAGAGCAGAATTAGCACTTCAGTCTTAATACCTGCATGGAATGTCTGATTATGCACATGTTCAACAGTATTTTAGTGAGTTTAGAATGGATTGTTACCTTTCTTTAGAAGAGGGATTATCAGGCATGTTGATTTATTCACTGATGATCTAGTACTGTTGCTAACAAAAGGGAAATATTTTTTTTCATTTGTAATGGTTAATTTTATGCGTGGTTGAGTTCCCCAGTTGTTAGAAGCTGTGGACCTGCCTGCTGCATTGTCATTGCAACAGTAACTTGTGCTATTAGAAAAGTTAAAGGATTAATAAATCAATGATCGCTTTTTTTTCTCCCTGAGAATTTCTGTAAGAGGAAAGTTATGCAAAGGTAATGCCAAAAGTAAAACAGATTAAAAATAGTTTGCAATGTGTTGTTCTTTGTAAGTTACTGAGCTGCTTTCCCACACTCCTAGTTGTCAAACAACAGCATTCCTATTCGGATGACATTAATATTTAGCCAGTGACCAAGAAAACCTGTTAATTTAAGTTCACAAACAAAATGCGCTAATTTTAGTTTTCCTCTTTGCCAGTGCTGCTTAATTATAATTCTTATTCTACACCGTGGAGTTTAATAGCATTATAGCAGACAGAGCTGAGTGGCTGTGATCTGCTTATTTTCTGTCTCTCCCTTAGCCACACCCCCACGCCAAAATTTAAAAAAGGAAGTGGAAAATTCTAAATCACAGTGACAATTTTTAAGACATCAGTATGCAGTCTATGCTTGTTTGCTCTGAAAATTTACTGAAGCTTTTAAAATGTTACAGAAGACTAGGTTTGTTTTTTTCCCTCTTTGGTGAGCTATTACTAACATTTGTTTTCTTTTTCAGAGAAATGTCCTTAAATTATTACAGTCTAAGAGTGAGGTAGTCAGACAGTACATGGCAAGGCTCATCAATGCTTTTGCTTCATTGGCAGAAGGTAAGAGATCCATGGCGAGGGGAGGAGGGTTGGAAATCATTTTCATATAATGCTGGCTCATAGGTACTTTACAAAGTGCATGTCACTCCGTGTGGGAATTTAGAGTCTTATTGGCATACTTTTTCTGGGGCTTCACTGTCTTTTGTTGCATAGATTCAAAAGAGTTTTTCAGTGTCTGGAAAGTTCTCATTTTGACACTGTGTTTGCATCATTTCTGTTGTTTTTGCTGATTTGTGGTCTGTGCAGGAGCCTAGACAGTTGATGTCTTTAGGTAGGCTTCAGTCTCTTTATGAAGGTAAAAATATATATATATATATTGAGGGGCTGGAGGGGAAATTCCCCACTAGTTAAAGTGCCTATTGGCAAACCTGCTCCCAGACTGTATATCTCTGCCTGTCCCAAGTTAGCCATCAGGTCTGGTGTTTCTTCAGAAGCTAACTATTGCTAGGACCTGAAATCCCTTTGAAAGTCACTAACTTTCCTGAACTCTTTTGGCATCTCAGTTCTTTTCATAGAGTATATAAAACTGTAATATTCAGAAAGCATGTTCTGAAAGAATAGTGGATTCTGTGTGGTACAAGCAGAGGTACTAACTAGGCAGGTAGGGACCTCTAATACACCACGTGGGTGGATTTGGTCTGCTAGACAACTCATTTGTTCGGGTTTGTTTGGGTTTTGGCACATTGTGACTCCTCAGGAAAAAACTAAGGTCAATCCAACTTACTCTTTCAAGGAGAAAAAACTTTTCTGTCATAAGTTGATATCTCAGCATCTGTTCTTTCATCGCTCTTTGCACCAGGTCGTCTCTACCTTTCTCAGAACCCACTGTTGCTGCGACTGCTGGAGGAGAGACTGAAAGCTGAGGACAAGGATTCCCTTACATGGGAGAATGTTCTGGGGGCTTTGCAGAAATTCAGCCTCAGGTGATGAAAGCACAGCACTCAGTGGTGACAGCAGGGGAGGAAATGCAGGCTAAGTTAAGCTCTGTTCAAGGAGGAAAGAAGAGTGCTTGATTTTCCCATAACAATCATCAGACCCGCTGATGACCGATGAAAGCAGTGTCATTTATAATGGAGGAGAATTCAGTTTTGCTGACTGAATTAACCTGATTTCCTACCAGCTGTCATGACTCGAGTAAACGTAAATCTCCTACCACAGCTCTGTGCACTTCTCTATGTATTCTTTAACTGAACAACTAAAGTGAAAGTCTTAATGTAGAAAGTTCTGAAAGTCCCACACGGGAGAAAAAAAAAAGAGCTGTTTTACATTCCCATGCATAATGTTTTCATTATCCTTTCTGCAAACATTTTTCAGGGATTTCATTCTCATGCTGTTGATCCTCTTTCCTGGAGCTATCTATACATGGGCTATTCTGTTTTTTCCTTTTGAATTACTGACTCAAATGAAATTTCATGCAAATGCAATGAAGTGCATTATATTGCTCTCATTTTAAAAGTAACTATGATCTAGGACCTCTGTTTTCACAGTATTTGGGAGGAATATTCAGGTCTGAATAGCTAACTAAATGTAAGGAGATATATTTATCTATCTCTTCTAAACTAAGACTGCAAGTTGTGTTATTTTGTTTGTTTGTTGTTGTTGTTTGTTTGGGCTTGTTGAAGAATAAGTGCTGCTCTTGAATTTGCCTCATTTAGATTTTCAGTAGATAAAGTATGTGGAAATGTACATAAGATTCTGCACTGCTTCCTTACATAATACCTTACATATATTTGAGAAGAAATCTTCGTACCCTACTGCTTGAAATCCTAAACCAGTCTTAGACAAAATGATTTTTCCGTTTAAGCAGTGTTTGATAGAACAGTTGAGTTTGAATTTTGGGGTCAGGAGCATTTTTGTGAAATAAGCTACTGCAATTTTTGTTTTCAATCTGAAAAATAACAGTTCATTTTATAGAAGGTTAACGCCAGATACTTGACATGAGGGACTTTTAATATAGGGTCAGATGCTCCCTTGTTTTGCCTCAGTCCTTGGCACAGGGCTACCCTACGATCCAGGACCGAGGAAGTGTGTGTGAGTTTTCAAGGGTAATCTAAATCCCAGATACTAAAACCAAGGAAATAACTGTTTGATCTTTGGAGTTTAGACTTACTGGATGTAAGAAATAAAGTAATTAACAGATTATGTTTTTCAGTAAGACATTTTCCACCACTTCTAAGAGAAAAACAAAATTCTACATGGGGTGTGTATGTTTGGTGTTGTTAAGTGAGGAAGTTCTGTGGTAGGAGTCAATCACTATTGACCACCTGGCACTCGTCAGATACAACTACAGTTTGAGGAAAAAATTTACACAATATAACAATCCCTAGAGAAAGTGCAAACAGATCTAAGCAAAGATTGCATCTGCCTAATCAGCAGTACAAAAATACTGTAGTGCTTTGTCAAGCAGTAATTGTTTTATGGGTCTGTTATGTGTAGCTGTTTTTTTGTTTGCTTTTTTCTTATTTTAAACCAATTTGAAGTCAATGGAAAATGCAATATTAGGTGGTATTAGCCTTAGAGAACAATGAAACTTACCCCAGCAATTTGCAGGTGTACAGCCAACAGTATTTCAGTCTTTTAACCCTACAGGAATCTGCATCTACTTACCAGGCTTTGTTAATTCAGTAGTTTGATTCTGCAAAATGAGTAGTTTATTTTTTTTTGTTGGCAAGCTAGCATGTGGCAGGTAGATGCAGTAGGTTTTTAATGTACTCGTATTAGATATAAATGTATTCAAAAGGTGTTTACCTTGTGGTTTGCTTTTTTTGTGTGTATTGTTGTTTTTAATCCTAGGCGTGCACTGCAGTCAGCAATGATCAAAGATGGGCTCATTTTCTGGCTGGTTGATGTTCTGACAGATACAGATAGCCTGTCTGATTACACACTGGAGTATGCTGTTGCCTTGCTCATGAATCTGTGTCTGAGGAGTGCAGGTATCTTACTTCTGAATTACAATTTTCTTCCAAGTGGATAGGGAAGATCCTGAAACCTTTTACTGTTATCCCTGGATTCTTTGAAGTAACTATATTTAGTAGCTGAGACTCAACCAACTAGTGACATTTGAGTGTCATAACCAGTATTTAATGAGCATATCTCTTTCCCAAGAATCCCAGACTCCAGAGGTTAGCTTGACCAAAATCCCAAGAACTAAGGAAGCAGTTAATCAATGAAACCCTCCAAGATCTGATTTTTTTTCAGATCAACATGTGAGGACTACGATTCCTACGTTCCAGGTCCACTTTTAGAAGGACACTTACTATTTATGAGATCTGTTTATGTAAAAGAAAGTCAGAACTGACTTAATCACTAATGGCAAGGAGCTTAACCTTCACCATGTGAAATGAAATACTTGTGTGCTATACTTTACAGTGTAGAGATGTCCCCTGAGAAAATAAGGTTCCTGTCTTAAAAGACTTCAAAGAACCTTAGAGTAAGTTTCGTTTTAAAAAGGAAAGTAAGGCAAGGAAGAGAGCTTGGCATAAGAAAAAATATGCCTTTGTTTAACTTCGTTAAATCCCTTTGTGTTGCATCCTGTCCAAGATTGTGATTGTATAAAACTGGAATAACTCCACTAATTTCAGCTCAGTTATGAGCAGCGTTTGGCAGGAACAGTATTGCTCTGTGTAAATTCGTTGTATTTAGTACTGATTCTAAGAAATAATTAAGACACTTTCTCTGATCTGCTGTTTTTTTGGTGTTGTTTTTTTTTCAAGCATATTTGTTTTCTCCCTTTGCAGGGAAGAAAATGTGTGCAAGGATTGCAAACCATGTGCTCAAAATTCTCTCTGATCTTCTTGGCCATGAAAATCATGAGGTACTTGTACAGCAACTTAGGGTTAAGAAAAAGGTAAAAAGGAAAATTAAAGATGAAAAAGGCAAGAAAGGAAGAAACAGAAATAAATACATAAATTGGCTTTGTTTCCCTTGTTAGACTTTCAAGTAATTAAGTACCTCGAAACTTTCCTAAAATTCGCAATTCTGTGAACTTGATTTCATTGGACACAGATCTTTCTAGATGTAATTATGTCTTCCTTTAACACATGTTGATAGCCAGAAGTGAAAGTCTTGTAGGTGCCCAGCTATCGTGTAATCCACATGCATTCTTGACTGCTGTTTCTGATACTGTTTAAATGTTATCTCAAGACCGAGAGGATTTGGTCTGACTACTTCATGAGCTGAGGTGCAAGCCATTATGTAAAACATTGGTACAAAAAAACAAATCTGCTGCTAATTTAAAGAACGTTACAAGGAAGCAGTACACCTGTGACGTTCAAGCCCAAATATGTTTTTGTCTGCCACTTTGTTTCACCTGCCTCTTTACTGCCTTGTGGTTCAAGCTTCTTTTCTGTCTCCAGACACACTTGTGCCATAGATGTTATATTAAACAACCTCAGAGGAAAGTGTTAAAGGTGATAGTTTATTTCTACCTTATGTTTTCAAGACATCACTCTGATAAAATTTGTCTTTTATGTAAAGCATTGATTCAGCTCTCTCTGCAGAGGAGTACGTCTTTTAACCATTTGGTAGAACTGAAGGGAGGAGAAAATGCAGACAAATATTTTTATGAAATTGAAATCGCAGAGAGGGAGAGTTTAACGGGATACTCTAGATCAATTCCTTGATGATTTTGCAAGGCGGTTTGGGACATCCAGTAAAAACAAAATACAAACTCTGGGATCTCATGTTTATATCTAATAATTGGATCGATCATCAAGAAGGTTTTTTTGATTATCACTTAAACTGGAAACAGTGAATGTTTCAATGAACTATTAGCTCCAGGTTTTATGAATTAATCAGAGGGCGTAGATCAGTTCTTTACTGGCACTGTTTTAATTAAGATGAATTTTGTCATACCTTTATTGAACTCTTTCAGTATTTGTGTTTTTATGAATGAAAAAGTTAATATGATACATAGTAGTACAAAATAGCATCTCAGTTCCTAGACTGAAATATTTAGAAAACTCTGTGATACAGTTGAAGTCTGTGCCTTAGAAGGACCTTGAAATTTCCGTTAAAGGATGGATTCTTAGGGCTTTGTACCAGTGCAACTGATAGAAGTTTTGTTATTGCAGTCAAAGGTACAAGGCAGCTCTCTTGGGTGCCAAGAGAACTTTCTGAGAAGCTGTGGAGTCCTTGTGTAAATACTAATCCCTTGTCTTTCCTTGTTTCCTCTGCTCACTGCCTAGCTCACTTGTTCATTTTTCCAAAATACAGTCAGAGGATGACTGGACGTCTTAGTGCTCCAACAGTAACTAGCCAACACAACGGGTCACATAAGTGCTGCTAAAAGTAGTTTGACATACCTGGTGGTTTTCACTAATCATATTACCAAGTTTTTTTGCCTCTGCTGAGGGACAGTAAATAGGCAGCTGAGTGGGAGGATCTTTTACATTTCTACAGCTTTTATCATCCTGCTTAAGGCTACAGTGCTTGAAACCTGTCTGTGTTTATGCTGACATGGTTTTGTCCCAGTTGTTTGTCCTTTCCTGTTTTTTGTAGTGCCACTAGTGCTAGTCAGAAACTAACCTAATTTTTCTGCTTTTCTCCTTTCTCTCTCTCTCTCTCTTTTTTTTTTTTTTTTTTTTCTTTTTGGCCGTGGGCTAGGTCAGTTTGCAAGAACACATTTTCAAAAAAGGGGTGGGGAATATCAACACACAGCAGTACTGGTTTAGCTCAATCATGTCACAGTGTACTTGCATCCCCCCAGAAAATCACCGCTTACCAAGTGGGAATTTTTGCAAGTGTGTAGGCTACCCTGATTAAACTCTATGAACATAGTTGGTTCTGTTCCTTCACTCTTAAATTTTGGTTATAGTCTACTTGGCTGAATGTCAGAGTTTTTCTTAGTGGTCTGACTACTGGCAAGTATTTCTTCCTCTTAGATACAACCATATGTGAATGGAGCACTGTATAGCATTCTCGCCATCCCTTCTGTCCGAGAAGAAGCCAGAGCAATGGTAAGAAGTTCTGCTTTGCTTAGCACAGAGATCACTTCATGTGCTGAAGATGACGTGTGTGGGTATCTGTTGAGTGGCATGCAGCAGGTTTGTCCTAGGGATAGCATTTTGAGAAGGGAATCCGCAGGAGGCCCTCCACCTTTGATATACAAACAGGTATAAATGTACGTCTTGAACATTTTTGCCATATTTGCTAGCCTTTTCCTAAAGGTGAAGCCCCAGCAGCATAAAGGATCCTTCTTAGTTTATAAATGAAAGATGTTATTTTAGAACAGTTGTCCATGTAGCATTTCATAGATTGGATGTGGCTCAGAAGATGCTTTCATCTGACCTGCTATTTATGGCCTTCCCTGAGTTAAGTAATTCTGCTCAAGTGAGCTAAGGGGATAAGTGTTCTTCTTGCTGCTTTTTTTTTTTTTTTCCTGTCTGGTCTAGACATGGTTAGCTGGGGAGGGCAGGAGGAAGGTTTTCACAGAACTAGGAACTGATTCAGGTGAAAGCTAGTCTAATGGTAACAAAAGTATTTTGACTTGGGGTTGATGAAGCTATTCCAGGGACAGCGGTGTATCTTTGTATCTTAAGGACTAACCTAGAAAGTTTTACAGACATAATTGTTGTCAGATGTTTTACCTAACAGAACACAAAAGATTGAATGTCATCTTAAATGATTAAAGGCACAACATCAAGCCTATAAGGGACTGCAAAGAAAGAAACTGAGTTTAGAGAAGGTCAAAGATGGTCCTGACTTTTGCTTTCCTTCTCTAAATCTTTCACAGTTATCTCTGTGAAGGCAAATTTGCCATTTTCTCTTGACACCTGTGTTGACAACTGAGTTGAGAAGGCAGAAGCAGCAGATCTATTAAAATTTGCTGCTCATCATGGGTACTTTAATATCTAAATCTAGAAGCAATGCACACATCCCATTTCTTTTGGCTTTGGGAAGTGTATGGACAAAAAGGAATGTTTATTGCTGGACACGGTGGTTTGTTTCACACTGCCAATATTCTTCCCAACAAAACAGTGATATTTTAGCTGACAGTGCTCTGTCAATGTGGTCACATGAAACACTAACCTAGCAATGTTTTCCACTCCATCCAGGGAATGGAAGAAATTCTGCGCTGCTTTATCAAGGAAGGAAGTGCAGAGATGATCCGGCAGATTGAATTTATTATCAAGCAGCTCAATTCAGGTCAGAGGAACAAATGCAGCTATCTGAGCTGTACATCTTTCATAAAAGTCAGAAGAAGTCTCATTTTTTTAATTTGGCATTGAAACTCTTGTAGAACTACAGTAATGTGATGGGCTCAGAGAGGGTGAATACTTAATGTCAGGATTTGATACGTTTTAAAATTGATTTTTGTGTTACATTTATAAAGAAGAAAGAAAAGGCTGTGTAGTTCCCAATCCTGAAGTTTTGGGACTGTAAACAGAATGCCTTTGTCTGTTGTTTTTTTTAATGCCGGTGCCCTCACAGTAACAAGAGACCAGTGTCAACTGCAAAAATAAGCAGGTGATACAAATTGTAAGGCAGGATTTAGTGACTATGTCAGTCTCTGCTCATCTCTCATTCTGTAGAGGAGCATAGCTCTGTTATCTGCAATTGTTATTGCAGATACACTGCTGACCTTGGGGGATTTTGTTGTGTGTTGTTTTTTTTTTAAATTCGTATTGATCTTCTGTATTCTGCTATATTGCACAAAAGTTAAAAAAATATTTTTACTTGTGGACAGTATAATAATGAAGTGCTTGTAGAGAGAAGTGGAATATTTTTATTAAAAGTTAGTTGAAAAATAGACAAACTTGCAAGCACACACTCTCATTCAAGTCTCCTCAGTAAATACACTGAGGCATCATAGTAGGATTTATGAGAAAAGAACCATTCCTAAGTGTTTCTGTTTCTGCCTTTTTTTTTTCTTGGATATGAATTGGCTTCAGTGATTTCTAGCATGCTTTATAGGAGCAAATAATTCCAGTAGTTGTCCTGAGAAGAATGGTGTGTCTATAAGAGAAGCAAGCTAAATCTGAATGTTCCAAAAGAAGGGCAATAACTAGAGATTCTTTTAGGTTAGACGTGTTCTTATAGAGTTTCATTTTGCTTCTTTCTAGAAGAGCCATTAAATGACAGTGCAGTGTCTGATGATGAAGAGGAAGAAGAGGATGAGGAAGTAAGTATAAAGGCCCTCTGGAACCTTTTAGAAAAATCCTTAGTCCTCTAGACAAAAAGTATTTGTGTCAACAAACTAGACCTTGTTTATTCCATGGAAGTGTTCTTTTTTTTTCTTTTTACCTTTGGTTGATTTTGTTGTTGTTGGTTTTATTTAATTACCGTGGTAATATTAACAAGAAAATTGTATCTGTTTACATTACCTTTAGTCCATCTGAAGTCCTATACTTTTATTTTGACAAGTCACCTCCTTTGTGATAAATAAAGGATTATAGCTGGAAATAAGTAAAGAGATGAGCACAAGTAGAAATCTTGCTTTCAAACAGACTTATTTCAGCAATTAAATATAAAGGAAGTGAATGATCCAGTATATCACCAGAATAGCTTTTAAAATATTGTTATTTTTTTCGTAAGGTTTCATTATCTGTTTAATGTGTGACTTCATTTTGCTGTTTAGAAACTTTTAAATATATTTCATAAATAGTTTATGATGAAGGAAAACAGTAATTCCGAATTTGAAAATAACTGCCATAAAAAGAGAAGAAGAAGAAAAAAATAAGATAGCAAGAATCAGAAACAGCACAATCGTGTAAACTGGTTAGCTGTGTATTTCCAGCACTGTTAACAAAATTTTTTATACTGATGATTTCACTTCAGCATTTTTTAAGAAGCTGTTTGTGTAGGATTCCAGGTGTAGACAGCACATAGTGTCATTAGTTTATTTGCCATGATCCCATGGCAGGGAAGTCAGACTAGATGGTCTGAAACGGTCCCTTTAAACCCAAATGTTCCTGTGATTCTGTGATTTAAATTAACCATCAAAGCAAGGTGTAAACAATGTTTAAGAAATTTTCAACACAGTCTTCACTGGTGATGTTACAAAGAATAAGGTGCATAAAACTCAGTAAGCCTGTTGTGTGTGTGTTTGCTAGCTTGTTGCATGGTAATGCTTAGGAAGAGTGGTGATGCTGCTGAACCCAGAACGTGCCCTGTGGCTGCAGGTTGACTGAGCGTATTTTCAAGTGAACTTTGAACCTGTTACATTGTGAAAACAGAAAAATATGCAAACATCCCATTTGTAAAAGGTGCGGTTTACTTGTAGCCATGTAGTGTGTCACGTTGCAGGATCCAGCCTTTGCTTGGTAATGTCCAGAAAAAAATTTGTATTTGCATTCTTTACCTGTTTTGTGTTGTGGCACAATAAGTTGTGAGAAGCGTAGACCAGATTATCCCTTGTGCCTTTCCCTAGTTTTACAGCCATGTGGAAATTCTAACTTTACAGCTGTATGGAAGCTTTCATTTACAGTCATCTCTTTTTTCTTCTAAAGGGGTTCAGCAAACTTTTATTTTTTTTCTAGTAGGATTGGATTATTGTAATTGCATCATCTCCTGCAGTTCTGAAGTGTGTTTTCAGTAATCTTCTCTTCCCATGACTCCAGACCAAAACCAGTGCTCTATATGCAAGGTGGTCTTTCCAGGGATTAACACCTTTTAACTGGTTAACACCTTTTAACTGGTGTTCCAAGGCTTTCGGTGTCTCAGATGTATTGTGAGTATTCAAAGTTGAGATATTTTTCCCCTGAACGCCAGTATCCTTATTTTGAAGGTTACTGTGATCTGTTATGAAATCACAGAGATTGGGACACCATTCATGAAAGGTGTGGCTTTAAATTGTGTGATGGTGTCTCATACTTTTATTGTGGTTTTTACTTTTATTTTTTCCTGCTGATGATTTCTCCTATTCAGTCATGTCCTCCAGATCAGTTACTGCTGCTCACAATCCCAGCGAAGGCTCTAAGTCAAACCAATTGTATGTGAAATGTGTAACAGGCTTCTGTCAGTCCTTATTTTACTCAAATATAACAATAAGCTCTTGAGACAGAGAAGTGTCTGGTTTCAGTTTTACAATAGCTTTGAGATTATATTAAAAAGAAAAGGAAAAACTCTTAATTCAGGCAGTTTTACAACTACTTCTATAATAATGATGTGGCGAGTCCTACATTGTAACTGCTTCTGGCGCTGTAATTCTGTTCTGTTCCATGTAGGGCTGGTCTGTCGGTCTTTCAGAAAGCAGAATATACAAACTGTGGCAACAAAAGGCTATACAAAACTCATAATGTTGTTACTTTCTTAACTAAGCAAAGCTCTGTTGACTCTCTGCCTCGGTGCTTGAGGCCCTTTTGTATTTTGGAAATGCTGTGAGTTATTGTTCTGTGATAACATCTGGTGCTGTGATCTGGCAGCACAAAGTTTTGAAAGACTTTGTCGGAAGCCTTGCCTTGACATAATGCTTAAAAGCTACTACAGACAATATATTTCCCTATATGTCTATTTAGTGACAATATGGACGTGCATTCAGACTGCCTGCTGATATCATCATTTGTTGCTGATTTACTCGGCACTGATTTACACCTTCACAGCTTAAGAAATAACAAAGTGAGTCTTTTATGCAGACTCTTAAGTTGCAGTTTCTACCCAAGCTTTTCTTGTTTCCAAAAACATGTGAAGAGTCCCCATGCTGTTACCATTACCTTTCTTGTTGTTTTTTTCCTTTTTTTTTTTCCTTTTGCCTGCGATTAATTTAGAGTTGCTGAATTATCTTCTGGCTTTGAACAGACCTTGTGGTACTGACTTTCTCCTAAACACTGCCGCCAAGATGTGGTTGAGCTTGTTGGAGGATGAGCCTGAGATTTCTAAGAGAACGTCACACACTGGGAAATGTAAGATTCTGCAGTGTGTGACATTAGAGCATATATGAAAAATTTCTGCGTAGTGTTACTCAGAAGAAAAATGGCTTTAAGGTTTGTCTGCCGAGCTTTACATTGATTTATGTAGAGCTCAGGATGCACTGTTTTCCAGAGTATATGCCCACTTCGTTATATGAGCTGTCTGGCGTGTGATGAGAGCCACAGTTACAATGCATAATTTCTGGTGCTTAATATTCTTTTGACTGTTCTGTTAAATACTAACGTATTTTATATTTAATATTTAATCTTTATATTTGCTTTTTTATTTGACTTGGACCTTCTTAAAAAGCTGCCTGTAAAAGTAAATATGTGATATCATAGCTCTAGCTCAGAAGTTTACTTACAAGCTCGAGATACGTTAGATAACTGTACAGTGACCATTTATCAAACACCCCGTGATGTCACCATCACTCAGCACCTGGCAATAAAATTAGTAAACTCCAGTGTGAAAATATACTTCAGACAAAGGGTACATCAAAGGAAGAAGCTTAATCACGAGGCTTCGAGCCATTGCATTAAAGGTTTGCTGCCAACAGTGGTGAATGGGGCACCAGTTGTGGTGTTGCAGTGGTGGAAGGATGACGGTGCATATGGCAAAGCTTTCCTTCTGTGCAAGGAGGAGCTAGAGGAGGGAAGCGTTCAGGATCAGTTACCTGCTATGATAAATAATGTTAGAGAGCAAGGTTGGCAGGGAGAGGTACTTCCCAAGAGCCAGAAACTGCTGTTCTCCGCGTGGCAGAATGCCTCAACCAGCATACTGGGTGAGGTGGAACCTGGGGAAGCTGAGGAGATCCGTGAAGAAAAGCTAAATACATCATGCATGCATGGTAGCTGGATGCAAATCTCCACCAGACTATTTATAAAGCTCATCTTTGCTAAAGCATGTACAGTATATTGTGGAGTTTAGTCTGTTTTTGTTGTTGATTTGCTTGATACAGGTGATTGTTGGCTACTGTACAAGTGTTTATCTGTATTTTTTCCATTATCTGGGTTCCCTTTCACACCTACCCAGCTCCCAGCTGGTTTTAACATATCCTTGGAGAGAAAGGCAGATGGAACATCTCCCTGAGGTCCTGTACAGCCTTGTCCTTTATGGCTGAGTGTCAGGAGAATGCATCCTTAGGATTAACAATCTGGTATCTCAAAAGTACTTATGTAAAAACTATTTTTTATTAAATCTATATACAGAAAAAAATAAATTAAGAAAAAATTGCTTCACACCTCAGAAGGCTCTCGTTCATACGCAGACATCTCTTATCTCTAAAATTTACCTAGGATATCAGTGATCATTGTTTTTAATGGCATTTTTAACAGGCTTTCTACATTACTTTAAATATACCTTACTTTAACAAGTCATTTACTTTTTCTTAGTCACTTATATTTACTGTCGCAATCTGTTTTCTTTACTACGTGTGGGGTGGTTCTTATCTAGGTTATCACGGGCAGCTCAGAAGAAACTGCTTTCCAAGAGCAAAATGCAAGCAAAAATACTGTCATGCATGACTACTTTTGGTTTGTTGGAGGAGTCCCTCAAACTTTAATACTTCTTGGTTTGTATGAAAGCCGAATTCTACTAGAAATAAACATGAGAGAGTGAATTCTGGATACTTCTCACTTGAAGTTGGTTACTTTTTGTGTGTGTGAAATAAAGTCAACAGAGTACTGTCAATATATTGGTATCCTAAAGTACTGCTTCCAAGAATTTTGTAGCAGCCCCGAATTGTGAGCTTTAAAGATTTGGTGCAAAGCTGAGTAGCTGCTGCTGCTGCTTCACATTGCTCCAGAAACATCTGCTTTCAGATGGCTGCCCCTGGTCTCACCTTTAAGGAACCACTGCCCTCAGAGGAGCTTTGCATGCCCAGCCATAAGGAATTTTTGTCTCGAGTCATTAAAAATTATGCCTCCCTTTTCTTGAAAATAAGTAATAAAATGCTTTTGCTCCCCAGATGGGGAATAAGCAGCAGTAAATTACTTGAGTGTTTTTGTGAAGGTGTAGGGAAGAGTGCTGAATACATATACGTGGGCATTTTTACCTAATCGAATGCTAGCATTGTGTTCAGGAAAGACTATGAATTGTTTTAATGTGTGGTTATTTTTACTGCTACTTGTAATAATCTAATCTCAAACTATAACTTTTATTACTGTCACATGATACTGATCCATGACAAGATCCGTACAAGTTCTCTGTCGTTCTATTTGCTTGAAAGATAACTGTCTTGTATGTTTTAGTTTTAAAATTGACTTTAAAAAAAAAAAAAATGAAACAAGGATATCCTTTTCTCAGCTTCCAGCGTGGCTGAGAAAACTCCATCGGGTTGTTTTTTCAGTCTGTATTGCACGACTAAGTTGGCTGTATGACTAGATCTGCAAAAACTAAAACTCCAAACTTCACAGCAGCTGCTTGTTAAAGATGGAGCATTGCACCTCCTCGGACTAGAATGTGGTGTTCCACAAAAATACCAATTGCTGAGATTTTCCCGAGTCTTTATTAAGTTCCGCAAGGAATAATGATTTGAGCTTGAGGAAATTTGAAGAACAACTTTTGAAATTCGTGCTCTGCCTTCTGGAGAAGGATTTGTAGAGAAAAAAATGTTTCCTTCTCTCAGGCTTCTGTAGTTTCTGTTTGTATCAAAAGCTTAGGCGAGTTTTCTTAGCTATCTGCTTTTTTGATAGAAATTGCCTGCCTGTTACTATTTACATGTGCAGTACTAAGTCATTTACCTGGAAAGTAGATATCATCCAAGTGACTACTGAAGTGAGAACTAAATTTGGAATGCAGACGTCCTTGGAACATGGGCTGAGATAACGTGTGTTGCTGTTGCAGGAAGACCATGACATCATGGAGGCTGATCTGGACAAAGATGAGATTTTACAACCTCAACTGGGAGAACTTACAGGAGAGAAGCTGCTGACAACTGAGTACTTGGGAGTGAGTACCAGTTAGTATGATCCTGAAATAAATGAATTTGCTGGGTTAAGTGTTTAATTTCAGTGGTTTCATCACTTTCTAAAATCTTTTCTTCTTCAATTTGTTGTTTGAAAGGTCAGGTTCTACTTGCATGGCAGTCCAAATCTTTCGCTGTTTGTTTTCTAAGCTGTAGTTCAGAAATAGAATAAGTTTGAAAAAGGTAGCTGCCCCTTCTTGGGAGGTAATCAGGCTGTGACTTGGTAATAAGCTAAGGACAGCCTTAGGGTTTTAGTGCTAGATCACTGACTCTGTGGCACACAAAACGAAGCGCTGAGCAACTTAATGCTGAAACACTTTGCTGGTCTGAAATTATTTTGACAGGGGAAAAAAAGTTGAAAAATTAACTGTTCCTTCAGTCTTTATGCCAGATCAAGTACTGTATGTCTTACCTCAAGCATCAAAAAGACATTAAGTATAAAAAAAAAAAAAAAAAAAAAAAGTTGTCACATCTGCCATTTAGTATGCTGCAATTTAATGTGAGATAAATACTGGCTGTATGCCTTCTGGATGTCAAAGTCCACACACAGGTCCGGCTACAGTGATGATGAATGAGTGATGAGATAAGATGTCATGGGACAACCTGTAATGATTCTACGGAATTTCATGGACTGATACTGGAACACAACTTAGGTGCTGTTGCAGTGTTTCTACAGACTTTTTTTTTCCGTGGTTCTAGTTCCTGGTCTTTCCACTACCTTCTCTTTGTTTGTTTGTTTTTGTTTCAATTTCCTTATTACCTGTGTATCAGATAATGACTCATACTCCAAAAACCAAGAAGAAGCTGTTTCCCAGTGTCCAGCAGAGTATAGACGAGCCTCTCCAGAGACCTGTGACACCAGGTTATCACAGAACTGCGTACCCAATGTAAGTCTAAACAAATGAGGCAAAGCAGGATTTTTTTTTTTAACTTATAAAGTGACCTAACAAATATCCCCATGGCCAGATAAATAAAATCTCCATACTCGAAAGCGCATTGGCATTGTCATTCTTTAAAGATCACTTGAAAGAAGAAATAAGAGTGCTGTAGGCAGAGAAAGGTCTGCTGGCTGAGGCCACATACTTTGAATAGTTGAACAAGTGTTTACTGATCAATTTGATTTAAAGTTGCGTTATATCCTGTGTGTTCATAATTCTTCCTTCTTCTCACAATATATTCTATTTGTAAGTTGCATGGAGTGTGTAAGATGACTGGGATCTTCATGTTATAAGCAAAAAAAGTATATTGCTCTAGACAGATACGCTACCCACCCATAAAACACACTAAAAAGAAAATGGAAAAGACAAATCTTAGTATGTCTGATTTCCTGTTTAAAAAAAATAAAAATAAAAAATCCAATGGGGGGTGTCTGTAACACCTTGCTCTTGGTTTGATTAGTTCATTGTGGGGTCAGTGGTACCAGGTTCGAGGTCCCACTTCCACTGCATGGTATTTTTTCCAGCGGTAGACTAGAGGAGCTGGACTGACTCTGGCACTGGCTGTTAAGGTAGCCTTACTTAATATCAAGGAAACTTAGAAAATATTTTTCAGGAGTAGATTTTAGTTACCGTGGGAGTGTTTAAGCATTACATTCCTGCTTTTTAAGTGGAGAGGAAAACAAGCATGTGACAATGAAGTGACTTGCCAAGGAAAAGTCAGAAAAACAGTGGCAAACCTGAGGGAATAGCTTTTATTTCCTGGTGCAATGTAATGTGCTACAGTTTATGTACCAGAAAAATGTCTAGAAGTCATCAAATGCCTCTCTTTATCACCGTCTGCTGAGGTAATGTTTGCTTAACAAAATCCCGGGATTACCTGAATGACACTGGTACTTTGTTGTGTCAAAGCTTAAATCTCCTTACGGACAGCTTTGCAGCCTATTGCCTCTGCAACACAACTTGAGGTGTGATTAAAAAAAATCATATTGATTTAAAAAAAAAAAAAAACAAACTTTCTCTACATAGTGGTTCTAGTAGCTTTGGGTCTGAGAAAAGTGGTGGGTGAAGCCTTTTTTACAGATTGCCTTATTGTGTAAACTAGAGAGGAGAAATGTCATCAGCAAAAGTCTAGCATGGTGAAGAATATGTGGAAATTATTTCCCTCCAGTTTTGCCAGGTGGTGGAAATTATAAGAGTATTTGGTGCATGTAGGAAGCATGAGACACCACTGTGAATTAGAAGTTTACATTTTGTATATAATTTATTTGTGCAAGAAAACTGCAGTAAATAATAACATGCTTGAGGTAGCTTTTGCAACAGAAAAGAATAAGCTCTGGTGGCTTTATGTCTTTCTAATTTTAGTAAGAATTCATTTAGTAAAATGAGGAAATTGCTTTCTTAGGAAGAGGAGAGCAATAAAAGTAACCAAATCATAGCTGCCTTAATATGAAATACATCCAGTTCAGATATTGCTTTCAAATTTTTAAATTATTTAAGTGTCTCATGTTTGCATCAAATGAAATGGTATGAAAAATGTCAGACTTCTTACTCTCCTGTACAGCTTGTTTACCTAGGAACAACCCAGGACAGTTCATCTGAAGTTTTTGATTCAGCCAAAGTTAAACTGCATAAAAACACATGTAAATGCTTGCATTCAGAATTGAATGTAAGCCGTTTGAAGTTCTTCTGCGAGACCTGATGTAACGCATTCCATTTCTCAAACAAGGTGAAAAAGGAAGCAGTTGATGGAGATACTATAATGTGTCTCTTTGAGTTGTTAGTTCATACCTCAGAAAGGGGAGGGGGGGGCTTCCAGTGCTGAATAGGAGTATTCACACAGAAAATTAATGCAGAATAGCTACTGCACATGAAGCAGATATTCCATGCTCATTTTTCTACGACTTTCCAGTACAGACAAATCTCTGGTTACTTCAGATGGATTGTCATGGGATCCCTGTATGGACAAGCTCCTGTTGTATGGGGAAGCCAGGAAACATTGGAAAGCTGCTTTTTTCCTTTCCCTTCCCTCCTCTTTAAAGACTCACTGCTGAGATCACTCAAGAGGGACTGAGCTACTCAATATTCTGCTCGCTGTTTCCTTAGAAACTGACTTAGCTGTGAAATCATTAACTGCCTCCTTGGAATGCATCCTTTCTCACTAGAAATATAGCCTAATTACCTTAACCTGATATTGGGCAGGGAAACTTGCTGCGTCTGCCAACTTCTTTTCACACACGTTTCACACCCGTCTTGCTTCTGCTGCATTTTGTTGCTTATTACTGAGCAATCTTGTCCCTGTTCTGTCCTTCAGCTGCTTAAGTTTCTCATTGATCCACCTCGCTTGGGAAATCAGCAGTTCTACTTCTTATCTACTTTAAGCCAGTGTTGCATGTTGCTCTCTATAAAGCAAAATCCTCGTAATACTCAGGAGCAAACCTTAAATCCTTGAAAAAGCTGAGAATTGGAGACCTTTCAGGCCTACTACTATATTCTTTTCTTTAAGCGTCCTACTGGTATTTTGAGTCTTCAGACTGCAAGGAGTTACGGTTTCCTTTCCTTGGCTCTTTATTGCTGTAGGAAAAAATGTTAATTCCGAATATGTATAACATCAGCTGGGTCGGGGGAGCTGCAGTGGTGCAGTTAAATTATGACATTGGCACTAGTTTGCAAAGTGAAAAAATAGGTGTTTTAATTTCTTCCATGTTATTACAGGCAGTGAGAAGAAATCAGAATTTGCTTTCTTGTAACTTTTTAGACTGCAAGTATTCATCACCCTACATTCTCCTTTCTCCTCCAGGCCAGAAAACGATGCCGTCTCTTGTCATGATAGGCATGAGAAACTGCAGTCTCTGCCGAGTGATTGTCCTCCTGTCTGTGGTGGGAGCAGGTCCAGCATTTCTGACCTCTGCATTTCCTCATCATGTAAGGATATTCCATAAATGGTGTTATTGCTCATTGCTTGATTAGTATTATTATTATTTTTTAAATGTAGCCTTGGAACTGGGTCTCTGTTTGCAGACCCTGGGGCAGTCTGCATGACCTTGGGCATGCATTTGGCTCCAGCTGGATAAATGGCTGCAGAAGGTGATGTGTGGTCAGTAGATACTGACAGCCACACCAGCCTTGCTCCATCTCCCTTCCTGTGGTTGGGCCAAGGATCATTCCCAGGGCTTCCGACGTGCAAAGTATATTTTCTTTCACTCCGTGATATCCTCTGCCTAGGGAGAGAGCTGCAGCCCAGATACAGTGCACTTCCCAACTGGCCAAGCTACTTACTTGATCAAATATACCCTTGTTCAGATCTAAATGAATTACTGTCTGCTGGCACCTGCAGGCTCGATTGGCTGGTCCTCTGTATTAAAGTTGAAGGCAGCTGCAGCTATCTGCTTCGTTTTGCAGCTGCGTTCAAACCATGAAGGGTTGTGGAGGATGGGGAGCCCTGTGTGTGTAGCTGCATTGTGGGTGATGCTGCTAACGATTCCGTCCTTGCAACTTAAACTGAAATTAATGCAGACTCAGCTGGACCCGAGAGTTCAGAAGCATGTGTTGGAGTTTAAAAGGTTATAGGCTTCTGAAATACTTTTCCTGATCTTCCAATATCCACAGGATCATGGGACTTCTGATGTGAGTTTCAACCTGCTTGCAGGGATTCATTAACATTTCCAACCAGGGTTTTAAAGCAAAATGTTCTGCAGTCTTAGATAAAGGATCTTGAAGCATATCCGGTACAGAATTACTAATAAGTTTAGGCAAAAACCTGCCTTTACTTTGTTGAAAAATATGCTTTGAAGCAGCAAAGGAATAGCAGGCTTTTTTCTTTTTCTTCTTGTTTTTTAAATTTCCTAGAGGAAATGAAAAGGATTCTGAGAAAAGTAACCAAGATCTTGCAGGCAGGAATCTGCTTGCATAATGCCTAGAGCTGATAAATACAACGTGCTGAATAAAAGGCGTATGAGAGAAGCAGCTGAAGCTCCTGTTTGAGATGGGCACTCGGATCCTTGCTGTTGTGCATGAACAGAGAGCTGCTGTCCTCAAGCCTTGCTTGACACAGCAGCATGCCGAGTAGAGCTAATTCTGTTCCACACAGAAATTAATTAGCTGGTCAGAGGCAGCAGCTCAGAACAGAGGCTGTGAGCTAAAGAAAGCATGCTGACTCGACAGTTTTTTCTCTATAGAATAATAATTTTTAAAAAGGGATTGTGCATATTCGTGCTTTGTAAAGGAAATTAAGCAAAGCAGGTACCAAATGTGCTGCTATTTCCTGTTTTAAAATGTACTGTAGATAAAAGCTACCTTTGGATGTAATTTCCAAGGTATTACGCAGGCACCAGGAGCCCAGCATGCCTTCTGAACCACATTTTGATAATATCTTATGTTCGCTCACCTCTGTCACCTTTCCTGTGCCACTGATGCTGTCTGATGGCTTGCTTGGAGAGGTTTGTGGGGAGGCTTAAAGCGGGAATCTGAGCAAGTCAACGAAGTAATTCATCATTTTGGTGGAGACTGTTGATTTAATGCCTTAGTGCTGAAGAAAATGCTGCCAATTTAATGTATTCATATTTTCAGAACTTTAATTTTACCCACTAAAAAAGTTTGCTAGCTGTTTTTGGTCAAAACTGCTTACAGATGGGTATTAGAGAACTAGATTATACTGTCTCTTCTCATAGAAAAAATTGGAAGTCAGAATATACAGCATATTGCAAGTTTATATTCATTATGCATATAAGAAGACTAATTATTTTTATGCGTGACAGAGACAATTCTTAGCAGTAACTGAGGCTATAAAACAACACTGAGTTACTCGAAGAAGGATTGCCAGAGGTTTGTTTTCAGTTTTTGCAAGTAGCCAGTGAAATACATGCTTAACTATCTTACCTGTTGAGATTTAGAAATGAAGAGGAGAAGAGACTGCACTGCTGGATCCCATGGCAGATCATTTCATTGTAACTGGACTGGATCTTTGGACATTGCCTGTTTTCCAAAAGGCAGTGTTTTTTGTAAATCTTAGGTTGAATTCAAAACACTGGATTCAAAACAGTACAAAACAAGCCCTTGAAACCATAATTAGAAAAAAAAATAATCTTACTATACAAAGCTTCTGTGCCCTTTTTCTTCTAGTGCCTTCTAAGATAAAACAGGAATCACTGCGTAAGAAAGATGTAAAAATAGCTGTACTGCTTCTAGGGGCTCCCATCGTGCCCAGGCAAATGTCATTGCTGTGAAATGGAATATACAGTGTGTTGAATTCAGATCTTGGTCTGACAGTCGTCATGCAGCACCAGAAACCTGCTCACTTCAGCATGTATTTTCCCACATCATGTGAATATTTTGGGTTTCAGAGTTGCATGCAATCAAGTTATGAAATGAATAATAATAGATGGGGAGGGAGAGAAAAAGAATAAAAGCTTCACGTGAACAGTCAGCATCATCAATGTCACGTCTCAAGCAAAGCTTAGCTTCAAGAAACCTTTATCCTCTTCTGTTTTCTAAAAATGAAAGTAGTTCTTAATGTTCTCTGCACCTGGATCTACTCATCTGTTCTTGAATCATGTTCTTTTTTTTTCTTTTTTTTTTTTTTCTGATTCTGTCTGTGACCATCCTCACTTTTTATCAATTTGGTAAAGAGATTATTACTATGACTTTTTTTTTTTGTTTCCTATGAATAGAAGGCTTGCGTACTAAAGATGAACCTTGGTCACCTTATTTACATATCCAGGGAATATCAGAGAGACCATTAACTGGGCAGCCAGGTGGTTGTCTGGAAGCAGCCTGGTCGGTATCCCACTCAGCAAGTGAGAGCAAATAAAAACAGGAGGGCAGCCTGGCCCAGGCATGGGAGGAATGGAGCTGGGAATTTTCCCTAAGCTCTTACTGGACTTGCACATCTCGGTAGCCTTGTGATCTCAGCAAGCTGCCTGTCCTTCCCTTTTGTGTCAGCACAAGGCAAAATGTGAGGTTTAGTGAGCAAATGTAACAGACCTCAGTTCTGACGGAGGTGTTTAAAACAGTTTTTTGTCTGCAATGTCTGCCTGTCACTACAGATGTGGACAGACGACTGCAAGAGGTTGCATTCCTGTGGCTTTAATGAGGTATCAGCTAATAACTGATATATTTTAACTGATGAATGCAGAGTATAGCTGCTTTGAAAATGATCCAAGTGTGATTTACTTTGCAATTGCAGAGGGCTAGGAGGATGCACCCATGCAGTTACCTTGGCTCAGCTGATGAGCTATAAAGCGCTCTGCCACAGTAACTCAGTAGCTTGCTTTTGTCTCAACCTTTCTTTCATACAGCAGGAGCCGTGACTTGATTGTATTTCTAGTGAATTGTAAAGAGCCAACTTCTCACTGAATTGTGTTTCCTTTTTAAATAGCAATTGAGACGAAGTCGTCCAAAGTATTCTCATCAGGCCATAGAACGGACCGAAGCATCCCAGGTGGTGACAATATCTTGTCTTCTCGATCTACTGACTTCACCCAGGACAAAGCAAATGGGCAATCTCATAGGTATGATTTATTCAGATGAGTATCTAAGAGTGCAAGAGGAGTCTGAGGGGACTTACCAGCTAATTCCATGCTGCTGTAAAGACAATCTGTGAAGTCATTTGATGTATGATGTAGTCTGGTCTGAGACAGCTGTGGCGGTGCTTGCCAAACAAAATACCCTTAGTAGTGCCAGCGGCAGCTGTTCAATTTCTAAGCATCTGGTCCAGAATAGGAGAAACCTCAAGCAAGACGTTATTAATGAACGTCACATGTATGCACAACCCGGTCTCCTGCAAGTAAAACTTCCTGATTGCTTCCGTAGATGGCTGTACTGTACCCCATGAAAAATCATTTAAACAGTAAAGAAAGAGGGACGGCAATGGGAACAGGGCAGGAATTAACATGCAAAAGAGAAATGAGGCATTTAAGTGGATTTGTGTGTTTAAACATGCTGTGTTGCTAACACAGCTGACCAGAATCCCTGATGATTGATTTGCTAGGTGGGTATAACAAAGAACTAAAATATTACAAGTTCTCCCAAAATGGGTTTCAATTTTATCTTGAAAAAAAAAATCTGTCAAAAGAAGAAAAAAGATCTTGCTCTCCTCCTGTTCATGCATTGAGTCCTCTGTGAAGCTCCTCATATGGAGGACTGTGATGTTATATACTGGGTGAGAACTAGTAATTCATTAGGAATTGGACCAAGATTTACCAAAGCTTTTCAGGACCCACATGTGTCCTTCAGACATTAACAGCTTTTTCCTAAAGGTAGTTTGATTGGGCCAAGTTTTAAACAGTGAGTGTAGAGAAGTTTTAAAAGCAAATACATTCCAAGAGTAAAACACAGAATGGGTGGAGATGTGTTAAAGGAGAGGTTTTACAGACTCTCTATGGGTCTGATTTTTTTTTTCAGAAATGTTTAGTTACTTGTGTCAGTTAAAGCTCTAGCACTTCTGAAAACTGGATTCTCTGCTTAGAGCTTTGTTTCTTTCTGGCCTACAGATGCCTTTGTAAATATCTTTTTTTCCAATTTTGCTCTTCCAATGGTGACGTCTGAGAAATTACATGCTGTTAACAAATTAGCACTGGCAAGTAATTGAAGTGCGTAGTAGTTATAACCCTGTTCCTGCATTACTGGTATTACTTCCGTGTTGTCTTAACATAACAGTAGCTAAGCACATACTGCAAATACAAACAGAATTTGATGGCAAAATTTTGCTTGCTTTGTGCTCTGGCTGATGTAGAGAGGTTACTATTCGGGCATTTGCTTGCAAGAGGTCATATATAGGCAGTATCTTATCCCCTACCTTAGTGCAAAGCTTTGCTTCTCTACAGTTGTAATCCATTGTTTAAAAGGTATGTCCCTAGTAATCTTTGCTCTTTCTGAATACAAGGTTATATAAATATCACTAATAGATGGATCCCTAACTGAAATTAAGGATGCAGTATTGCAGAAGCAGATAGTATCTGTGCATTGTACATGTATGCTTCCTTACCATGCAAACGATAATCTCTATTTACAAAGCAGCCTCAAGTTACGGATATGGGAATGTAACCACTCATAGTCCAAGCAGAACACAGAGTTTTCTGTGTCAGGGGTCTTTTGTTCATGTGCTCATGTTGCAACGACTAGGCCCTGCCTTTTTATTCTTCTTTCATTTTTTCCTTCCTGGAAGTGTATTTTAATGTTTGCAAAACAGAGTGAATAAATCACTGCTTTGGTCATATGTCTACCACAAGAGCTGCCTTCCTTCCTACTAAGCAAATACCAAGACGTTCCTAGAAAAGGTATGTATGAGAAAAGGAAGGTTGACTTGTGGTGATGCAGCATTTTGATCATATATAGATCTGTTATATGCCTTGTAGTTAATCGAGCATAAACCTGTGCGTAATAGACTTGAGTTTACGATTGAGGCTTGCTTGAAAAATTCCCTATGTTTTATTGTGACTATGACCAGCATCGTCATAGTAAAGAGATTAAACTCTGTAGGGGCCTTCTTTGGTTTCTAATAGTCTCACCTTTTGTTATAATCAGGTAAAACTGGTAAGAAGTCCGAGTGTGTTTGTCTTGGAAAAAACAGTCCGTAACTCGTATTTGAATGTCGAGTCTTCTCACATGTCTTGGTTGGTTATTCAGATCTCCGTGTCAGTCTGCTGTGCACTTTTTGATAACTATCTTAATTTTTTCCAAGAAATCAGTTTTATTTCTTGTCAATGCAAACGTAGGTTTCTCTGATTTATTTTTTGTTAGAACATTTGCTCTCGAATTACCACACACTGTCACAAATGACTTTTTTACTAAATACTACAGAACATTTTTCCACACTAGATGTTGCTGCTTCTGTCTTCATCTCACCAAGTCCTAAAGGAAGCCAGATAGAAGGATTTTTATGGTATTTTGAGGATTCCCTCTTTTCTGTTGGTCTCTTTTTATTGTTGTAGGAGAAAGTCATTCTGGGACACCTGCATACATGGACACATCCTACACATCCTGACAGAACACCAGCAGATTTTTTCTTTGAACTTTACGGTGTTTGCTACCAATTTATTTCATATAATCCTTTCCCAGAGAGTTTGTAAATATGTGAGCCATCGTACGTGACTGTTATATATTCTTTCTCTTTCATCAAGTACAGTGACTGACTGCATTACCGTGCTTTGTCTCCCAGGTGTGTAGAGCTGCCTAGGTTACTCTGGTGAAACCGAGATTGTTCATGGCTATAAAAATGCTTTTTAGTGCTTAGGAATACAGATGCAACTTTTTTAATCTAGTGCCAAATAACAAAAAAACTAATTTATGGCTCAAATACTTCTGTGAGGCTGTTGGGTCTTGCTTTTTCATCTGTGTCAGCGTATCGTAATCCACATGAGGTTAACATGACTGGCACAAGTGTATTGAAAACCCAACTCTTGAATCTGAGCGAATAAAACGACAAACAAGCAATAACAATGAAACTATTTTATGGAGAGAGACATTTAAATACATCTGGGATCCACGGCTTGGGGTGAATCTAGCCAATCTTACTTTTTTTTGGCTTAGGTTTTGCTGGTTTTGCTGCCATCTGCCACCTTCCCTTTTGAAACACTACAAGTTTAATGCTTGTCATGCTCAGTGATAGGTAGAGGGCTGCAGAGGTGGCTCTGAGGAAAGGAGTTAGAGTGTCTCTGCCCTTAATAGTTAACGTATACAAATGCAAAATGCAGACAATTAATGCCACTTAAAATATAAAAGAAACGTTTGCTGACAGATCTCCCTGCAAGGTGAAGCAGGGGAATGGAATGGCTAATCACTGACTCAGCAGCATTCCCAGGGGAGCAGGAGGGATTAAATGTCTTGAAAATCCTCCTAATCACCCTTTCTGATGGTCACAAAGGGTTCTTTTGATGGAGGTAATAACACGGGGACTTTCCAAATAAAATTTTAATCACTTTCCTTTCGATGGCACCTTTATGATTCTCTTGCTTTGGCTCTGCTTTCACTTCCCTTTAATATGATGTGTTTCTTCATGTAGCTGTTATTTCAGTTTAATCTTTTCTCCTTTTAAGAGAAAATTGACTCACTGGAGCCAACATGAATATAGATTCAAAATTATTTAAGGCTTACTATTTCCTGGTAGCCTTCACTTTTTGTGTATCAGAATATATTGATGCTAGGGGCAGGGAAGGACAGTGTGTCCTCACGCAGTTATGGACTACATTTTAAATAATTGTATTCTTGCAGCATGTGCAGACTGTGAAATAACAGCAGCTGGTTTGTGTTCTCAGCACGAATAAGGAACCCGTGTGCATAGGGAATTTATTTTATAGATGCCATCAGAGCTTTTTGCTCTTTTGACAAAGACCTTTTGGGAGATCTACGAATCTTGTCACAGCTGGGAGCCAGGGAGGATGCCTGTGTCTGCCAATATTGTGACCTGTATGTAATAGTTTGTGCCCTAGAAGGATGTATTCCTGTGCTGTAGCTTTCATATATGCTTTTTGTACCTCAGAATGAGTCTGCATATGATGAAGACAATAGAAAACAAGCTATACAACACAAGCCAAACATCCATTATTTATTTGCAAGGGGCTTACCCAGACCTGTTCAATCCTGTTGTCCAAATAATCAGGTTTGAGTAGGATAGACAGGTCCACAGAGCCAGTTTAGGGAGGGTGTGCGGAGAGTACATGCCCCAGGATAGTACCTGTGGTGCCACGTTCCTCTCTGTTTGTAGTCACCCTGAATTTGGGGCATTCTGGTGTGGTGACAGCAGGCCAGGTTTCACTTGGTTGCAGACTTTCTGTGCGTATGTTTTTCTCTGTGCGTTACTAACCCTCTCCTTGTCCTCCCACAGCGAGTTTTTCTCGGCCTTTACCAGCAAACCCAAGATCCCTCGCACTCCTGAAGTGCAGAGTGCCAGCCCCAGAAAAGGAAAACTCCCGACCATTGCCCCGCAGTTCTCTCAGTCTGGTCCCCAGCAAACGAGCCGGCCGAGCTCCTCAGGATCATCCACAAGGAGCAGACAGAGTAAGTGGAAAAAGTCACCCTTCTCCTTGTCAGCACTTGGGATTGAAAGGAGGGAGCTCTGCGGGAGCTCTCCAGGAATGAAGTCGTACTCTGCGAATGTGCCAGGAGTGTATGACATTGTACTTGTCATCTGCAGGATGCACAACCATGGAATTATATCCTGCTGAACACTGCTCCTATTTCCAGACTGTCATGTGAACAGTTGGAGACGTGCTTTTTCCTGTCTCTGGGTGGAGAAAAGTGGCTCAGAAGTATGGGGGGAAGCTTCTAGTCTCAGATTAGACATTCTCTGGATGTCATTAGACTGTCTCCTTTTCTTTAGACACTTGTTCACTCCACTGTATAGCTTGTCTAACGTTCTTCAATTTGGATTCCTGGGTGTGTCTGCACTGCACTGAATGTAGACCAGATGTCCGACGATTCAGGAGATGGGCTCAGGGCAGCCTAGCAAGAAGGCTGCCAGGCATGGTGTGCTGCTTGTGGCAGTCAGCATTCTGCTGGAAACTTGGATTTGAGAACCATATGGATGTGTTGTTGCCTGCAGAAGCGTAAGCAGTGCTAGGTTGCAGTGGGCTCAGAGGAGAGGAAGGCAGGGACCTGAGGTTGGAGGGAAGAGATGGAAGGATGCTTTAGGCCTGCCAGCATGAGCCCACTAAAATGGAAATGTTGGTCTCAGTTGCTTACACAACAGTAAACACGTAGGGAGATGTGGAGGGTGTGAATAAGTTTTTTCTCCGTGGTGCAGAAAGGACTAGCTGGATTCAAATATACTCCTGGGGCTGGACTAGCCGCATTCAGGTATATCCCTGGCGCCAGCAGCAATAAAAATGGAAATAGCAACGTGCTATAGGCTCATATTCCAATTGTATCGTAAAAGTTTAGTGATGATTATCACAATGTAATGTCAGCGTGACTCTTTAGCTGTAACTGTTACCTTTAACCATTTAAAAAAAAAAAAAAACACACCAGGAAACTAATATCACTTTGTAAACCTGCCCGTGGAATTTGAGATAGGTGCTTATCATTAACTTTTAATTGCAGATAAGGAAAACTAATTGTAGGGAGCTGAAATAATATAGTAAATCAGCAACAGAGCAGGAAGGAGCTTCTTGGACCTTCTGTATTGCTTACTTATTGTCATTTCGTGTGGTCGTATATGTGAGGAGATTGTGTGGTTTCATTCAGGGAGTACAGGTGAGACAATGAAAGAGGATGTCCCTAGTAACTAAGTGAGATTTTGACCTAGCGATTATTTGCTTGAGTGATCCCATCCTTAGATAATAACTGCCAGCTTTTTTAGTGTTACTTTCACTGCGTATGCCCTGTGTTTCACCTCTGTCATCAACGCTTTACATTTCCTGTGAGGGGAGTTCCATTCTGCCCTGGCTGAATGTGATGCCAACAGCCAAGAGTCTGTCCCTGTTACCTGTTTAGCTTCATTTCCAAAAGCAGAAGTCCATTAAAAAGGAGAGAGTATACGTGTGCACACACAAACTTGTCCACATGTTCTAGTTTCTCCAGCAGAACTCTACGCTCCTGGGTGTCTGTGCCCCGTGAAAGATGTGACACACATGTGGTTGCTTTTGTAGGGATGTGAATTAAGTTCCTTTTCCAGTGGCACAGTGTATAATCAGCTTATTTTGAAGCAGAGTTAAAGGAGAGTTTAATCAGAGTTCTGTGTTGTTTGTGTTTCTTTATTGATTCAGTGTATGTAACTTGTAAGGCCAGACTCTTGGGCTCTCTTAATTTTTAACTTTTGTTAGATAGGATTTGTCTCACAGCGTACCTGTGGGCATCATGTCCTGGGAACATTGCATCTCATTTTGGGTCCGTTTAGCTTTTCTCCAGAGTTTTTCATTAGGGTTTCAGGTAACTTGCTTTCTATCTGTCCATAGATTTCATGAGACAGACTTGAAGGCAGCAAAAGAACGCTAAACTCCTATCTTCCTGCCAAAAAATAGCAAAGAAATTGTTCTGCAAACAAGCTGCCACCCACCCTATGTGTATCTATTCTGTGTTGTTGTCTGCTGTCATAAGGCACGTATTGGTTACTCTGCATCTTGCAGGGGCTTTCACACAGGTGTTTATGGTTTGGAAAATTGAGAGGCTGGTGTTAAGGACCTGATTTTTAAAGGACTTTAGAAAGGCTTTAAGCACCCAAGTCCAAACCCTGGGTTTTCAAATTTAATTCCCTTTAAGCTTCTGCGTAAAAGTACAGGGTACAGGGAGGCATCTGAAGCAGGTGAGCCCCTGGTAAAGCTCTGTTTTGCTATTCCTTTGATTTCCTAGTTGACTTTTGCAGATGAGTTGGAAGTGGTGTCAGATGCACAGATCTAAGCAATTAGTAGATCTCAGCAGTTGCTGCCTTCCATTTGCCTACTACGTAGGTATGTTGTATTTTACATATTAAAAGAGACTGTCCTTCTGGAGGATTGTTTTTACTTTGTGGATTTCTTTGTGTTTGTGGAGAAATAAAAGTTTATATAGCTCTGGACAAATGATGAGAAAAAGATTAGTTTCTGATTGCACCTACTTGATGTGATGGCTTATTTTAGAGACAGGTTTTAGTTTGTTTTTAAAATTTATTGTAGGTGTACTTACTGGAAATAAGTTGCTTTGACGCAAACCTAGCTGAACTAGCTGGACTGCTGTTCTTGGAGTGTGTGGAATGCCTGAGGAATGCAGAGGAAGCACAGGTACTTAGTGCAGCTACAGGCCTGGGGCCAGATTCCTGCCCGAGATGTAGCCCACTGTTAGTGGAGTGTTAAAGCTGTACCTTACAGCAAAACTGAGCTCCTCGAAATAAAACCAACCACGTTGGAGCTTTCTGCTGAATCCCCTTCCTAGCTGGTATAGGGGTGTCACAGTGGCTAGAAGACAAAGTGGACCTCCAAATCTAGACTTTTTCAGCTCTGCTTTATGTGCTCCATGTGGATGGGGAAGAATGATTTAGTCTTCATGCATTGCTCTGCATCTGTTCCGAGCACCTCTTTATGGACACGCTAAAGGTACGTGTGCAGCATCCCACGTTGGTTCACTCTAGGGCACAGTGAAACTAGACTGACAGAAAAATCTGTACCAAAAGAATGAGGAAGGATTTTATCAGGAGTGTGACCTGCCCCTGTGGCTTCCTGCTACTCCAGAAGTTCTTTCAGTGACCCCTCACAGCTGGCTCACTCCCGTAAGCACATTCTGCATTTTGAAGTTGCAGCACCAGTGGTTAAGGTGCCTTTGTGTGTGTACTTTGTGCTGGTTGTGTCACTGTATGGATCAAACAAGTGTTCCCTCAGGCAACTCCTGCCTAGTGATAAATCCTGCTTTCAACTGACAGAGTTTTTTTTTCTTTTCTTTTTTTTTTTTTTTCCCTCCCTGCAGGCGCTCAGTCCTCCAGGAAGTGAGAACAGTTCCTTTCCTCAAGAATCACCTGTCACTTTACTGAAGGGCAGAGGCAGCTTCCTGTAATGAGCTTTACTGGCGACCTACCGAGAAGAGGTTATTAACATTGCACGGCGTGTGCCCTGCATGGTGATTCAGGGATTATCTGATGGGATCCATCTGTAGTCCTCTCTAAAGCTGGCTAAGACAAAGGCCTTGTTACAATTCAAGGTCTCAGCAGGTGCCCACAACTGATACGGTAGATGGATATAGTCCCAGTGTCTCTGATAGTTTATTCTAAAGTGACATTGCTACCTCCAGAAGTCTCTTGCTCTCTGCTTTTTGTGTCAGAGTAAATGGCCTTTGGAGGTGGTCTGTAGGGCTCAGCACAGGAGTCTGGCCAAGCAACTGTCTTGTTTACATATTGCTTGCTGAACAAGTCTGTAACTTGCTTTATTTAAATTATGCTGTTGTGAATGAGTTAGGGAATATCTGTGTTCAAAGGATCTGCATCTGCACGAGGAAGGAAAGTGTATGCTATCTGTGTAGAGCCTCACTGCCTGGAGCAGTTCTATGTGGAGTCAGATCTCTGTCTGACCACCAGAGACTGAAGAGAAAATATTTTATCAACTTCTGATTGTCCTGAGGCAGTTGAAAAACTGTGCCAGTGCCTAAAGCACCATCCAGCCATGCTTATCTCTGAGGATCTGGTCAGCAGGTTTATCTACAGCAATTATTCCTATTCATTCATTTTTTTCCCCTTAATATTGTTTCTTAACATTTGTAGAATGAATAATTAATTTTCCACTGGAATTAAGAACTTTCTTCATTCACAGGAGAAACCATGAGATGTGAACAGATTAGAAACAGTGTTCTGTGTGTGTGTGGACCTTTGGTCTTTGTCACATTTGAAATTCTTCACTTCTGAACAGTGATTGGTTATGTCTTTATGGAATTTATGCTGGTCTTCAGTGAATCAAAGTGCTGAATAGGTAAGGGTAATCAGGAAGCCCTTCGCTAAATCAAAACCCAGCAGTTAGTTCTGCCAGTAAATTATGAAGCCTGCACATCCCTTTGTATGACACAGCTCTTAGGACAACAGCAAAAACTTTAACAGAAAAGCAGTTTACCTTGGAGCTTGGCTGCCACTGAAGCAGAAAACATTGTAAATGGACTTCAAAAGCAAATGCTTTAGCAGGTGTAAAAGGGAGAAGCCAAAGCTTTTGTTTTGGAGTTCCAACTTGAGAAACAAACAAGAGGAACCCAGCCTAAAACGTCAAGCAACTCCAACAGTGACAATTGCCTCCTGCTTGAGTAAAGAGTTGTAAAGCCACCAAACATTTCCGTAGGAACAGAAGAAAGCTTTATGCTTGTGATGATGAGACCTTGAGTTCTTTGTGCCTCTTGGTATGTGATGGCAACTGAATAGGCAAGGCATTTCCTCACTCAGTGTAGTTGCCATGAGACCCAAGACCAGTGATGCTGCATCAGGTTTTTGTGGAAAAGGATCCAACAGGCAAGTTCCTCTAACCCCTTTGGCTAATAGACTTCAAATTGGAATTAAGATGTTTTGAAGGACAAGACAGTTGAAAATCTGGTTGTATTCACGTGAAACTTTCTGCTCAGTAACTGCACAGCCTAACACAAAGCAGGCAGGGTATGGGTGTTGCTTTAATGCCCCAGCTGCACAGGACATAAAGTAATTAGAGACACCTGATAGTCTTTTTTCCTGTAGATTACAGTGATAGATGAATCACAGAAAACCTCTGATTTGTGCTTTGTGAAATCACAGAAAATTCCTGATTTGTGCACCCACCTGCTCTCAAAGCTGTTAAACATAGTTAATGAAAAAAAATGTCCTTTGATTTACAGAAGGGCAGCAATAGGAGGCAGCCATAAGAACTCACCTAGTAGTTTTGCATGGCAGGCAGTTTTACTTTTCCCTCTGAAAAGCTATCTTTTTTCCAGCTGGTAATATCAATGGGCAGGTTGTTAACACTGAAGTGCTAAGCAAGTTCATTTGCATATGCGGATACACAGAGTGCCCCAGCAGTTGAATTTTATTTATTTTACAGCGGTGTTGAGTTTCATGTTTGAGCAGACCTGATTCTCTGAAATGCAGAACAGCCTTTGAAAAGAGTTGAGTGCAAACTATTAAAAAAAAAAACCTCCCTGGGTTTACCATTAGGTGAGGTTAAAACTATCACTCTGTAACTCAGCCAAAAGTAGCTGCCCTCCACAAGATCAAGATAAGTGAAAAGCAAAATACAACCAACAGATGAGGAAAACTGAAAGGAACAAACTGAAGTGTATGTCCTTGTGTGTTTCTTATGCAGGCCCACTGCAAGGCAGAACTCTACGTGTATGTTTTTTCATGTTCAAGTCTTAGGTATCTTGGAGAGTACAGAGTTTGAAAACTGTGAGAGTATTTTTATATTAATGTTTGAGAAACTTCATTTTCCAAGTACTTGAGAGAGAAACTATGTACATGCTTTGAAATAAAGTGCCAGCTGAGCAGTAGCTTGTGAAGCTGACAAATTAACGTGTTCTCTGTTTCTCTGTGTTGCTTACAAAAAGCCCCTGCGATGCCAGTCAGGAGGTTCTGAAGCTAATGTTAAATGCTCATTCTGCCTTTGTTAGTGGGGCACCACTATTCGGGGTTGAGAGGTCCCTGGATAAAAGGTCAGTAACATGCATATAGCAAATTCTGCACCTTGCTCTTAAAAGTTGTTAGGTACTTTTTGTATCTGTCACGCAGAGGCTGCTAGATACAACACCATCCTGGTAAATTTGTAACAGGAACAGTGGAAGCTGCCTCCTGAATGAGAGGGAGGTGATTGTACCTAAGCTGACTGTAATTTTATTTACGACAAGCAGATGCAGTAACTGCACGTAACACAAAAAGTCCCCTTCAGCTGTTTGTGTGACCAAAGTGCTACATGATGCTGATGTGCTTCTTGTGTGTAACCTCTACATTCAGTGTTAATGGGGCACAAAATCATAAAGGATCCTGAGTTGGAAAGGACCCACATGGATCATCAAGTCCAACTGCTGGCCCCACACAGGACCACCCAAAAATCAAACCATGTTTCTCCGAGTGTTGTCCAAGCATGAACTGCGTATGTCTATTTAAACTTGAATGTCAGGCTCATTCCGTACAGTTGCTTTAAAATCATCTGCTGCTGACCAAGTAAAAATGCTTCTGAAGGCACATGTGAATTTTTATTTCTGTGATAGGTTTCCCTGGGATTTTGTGCACTTCCAGGATGTGTGTTTGCTTGCCTTTTGCTGTTCTATTATCGACAAATTCTGTCTCAGCTGTTTTGTCTCTACCTGAATTGGAAATGCATCTCCCTTTGGTTCAGCCTGGCCTGCCTCTGCTGTCAGCATTGTTTGCCCAGAAGTGTTGCAAAGCAGGTGTGTGCCACACATCATTTTTGGGCTCTCATGAGGAAAGCCTAGGCATGTGGGATGCCACCACTGACACTTTTTGGGTGTCAGAGCTGTTATTCCTTAGAGGGACTATAGGTGTGGGGGGAGACAAGCAAGGAAGTTCTCTGGAGACAAAATATTCCTGTGTTGGGGAGGGAAAAGGGTTGTTTGGTTTGATTTTTGAGATGTTTGCTTTAAATAAAGTTCACTGATCTCTAAAAAAAACCATCAGGGGTTACAGCACAGGGATGAAAAGCACTGTGTTGCCTTCATGCACATGTTGGAGCAGTAGCAGGAGGAAGGCAAGCAAGCTACCTTCCCCCCAGGTATTTCCCCCAGCCCCTTCGTTCCAGGACCTGGAGTTCATCTTTGGGCCAGAACTTCTGGCAGCGTACACCATCCTCATATGTGGCTGCAGTCTGGTTCAATTTGGGGACAAATCATTTCCCAGCAGAGGAAGTGGCAGGGAGCAGGGAGGTGCACCTTGCTCAGCCGATCTAATTGTGAAGTGTTTGAGCCAAGCCCTGCAAGGTTTGGACACACCTGGTTATGCCGTGTGCAAGGTGGTGCATGGGCTTGGCTAACCAAGAGGTTAGAGATACAGTTTTGCAGGTTTCCACTGACCTTGGTGGGAACTGAGTATTAAAATACCTCTGTGACCAAGCCGTGTGGCCTCCTGCACTTTTCCTAACCTCTGCTATTCATACAAATCAAAAAAAGGAGGGGGACTCTCGAGAATGCAGTGACAGGTGAGAAATAAGATGCTCTGGGGCAAACAAAGCAGATGAGACTTGGCTCTTCCAGCCAGGTTGTGTGGGAATCTGCTGCTAACAGATCTTAAAGGAACTTCTGGGTGCAGAGCCCAGAGTGGGCTGTGTTATCAGACCAGTAATCCTACCTGGCGCCTGGTCAGTGGTTGGTATCTGGTGTTTCAAAGCAGGTTTCTTTCCAACTCCTGCCTGCATTCTGCCCTGCAGAAGAAGGGTGTTGTGTTCAACTCCAGGACCATGAGCTAAACTTCCACTCCTTGAGGATCCAATGTTCTCCAAACTGACAGGCCAAGTGGCACACCCTGGGACATCTAATAATTTTCGGGAACGTGCCCTTTTCAGTTCTCTCGGCTGTCCTTTCGCATAGTCCAAGTTTCCGAGGAGCTATGACATTGATTTGTGGAAATGAAAGTGAGAAAGCTTCACGCAAATTGTCAGAAAGCCCAGTGACAACCTTAAATGTTTGCCTTGTGCTTATCTTCTTCAAATATGGGAAACTGCTGATCTCGTATGATTTTAGGTCCACAGTTTTCGGGAGTGTCAATTACTTTGCTCTGGGTATAAATGACCTGTAATTAAAAAGATGGCATCCACTACCTCTCACTGCTTTTTTTTTTTTTTTTTACAAGACATTAAACTGTTGCTTCATTTTATTTGTTTTCCTTTTCGTAGCCCTGGGAGCTAAATCCAAGTAAAAAAGCAAACAGGGCAATAAGGAAGAGTGGATACCACAACCAACAGCCTTCATCGTGCAGGTGCTCGAGGTGCTTTAAGCATTAGGCTGGAGCTGACAGCTACGACTGCTGCGGCCATCCAAAACTCAGCCCTACCTACGAAGGGGTTTTTAGCATGCAAGGACAGTTTCCTCCTGCTGATCCCAAGGAGAAATCCTGGCCTTTGTAGCTGGAGATTTCATTACAGGCACGTAGTCCTCTTTCTCTGAAGAGCAAAGAAGCCGAGCTAACAGGCGGATGGGATGTGAGTGCTGGAAATAGCAGCTCCGTGCCAAGTGATAGTTCCTCCTTCGGGCTGCCATGTGCCGCTCTGACGGCCGTAGCCCTTGTCTGGATCCGGCTGACTGCTGGCAGAGGTTGAATGCTTCCCGAGAACAAATCCGTGTATTGTTTGTGTCTGCTCATGCACTGCCTTTGGGACCGTGGTTCGTGTTGGTAGCAAGGAGCTGGGGCCGTCCGCGCCAAACGAGCTCTTTGTCAAGCAGCACGCCTTGCTGACATTTCTACCATTTTCTCCAACTGCTTACCCCAAGCAGACAACTTGTTTGTTTTTGTTAACGTGGCAGATCGTGGCCTGTCGTGATTTCCCATGAAACTCTTTCAATTTCTCTCTAGGCCTTGTGACTGAAGGTGCTGCTGGTGTGGATGCAGGTTGTCCCAAAGCCGTGCTGCAGCGAGGCCTGAGCGGCTGCCAGGCTCCACAAATCCTCCTGCAGCTTCCAAGGTCCTCTGAAACCGCACTTAGAGCTCCTAAAGCAGAAGCCAATACTGTATGTCATGTCCCAAGTCACCCCGAAATGGCAGCAATGAGAACTGATTTCAGGGTGGGTCCCTGCTGGGTGTCCTGGTCCTCCAGGCCCTACTCGTGTAGGGCAGAGACCCAGGCTTTTAACCATAACCAGCCCAGGTGATCTTCCACATTTCTGGTGAGAACACACTTGTGTCTGTGGAATCCACTGTGAAAAAAAAGATATCCATGCTGTAAAATTCATTATGTTCATTATTTGCTGTCTGTGAACGAATGCATCCCATACTTCAGCTGAGTTCAGCTTCCCCCAAGCGGTTGTGAGGAGACAGCTGATTTTCCACCAGCACTCTCCTCACTCAAAGCAGGCTTGAATCTTCATGGAAAGCTGGTTGTTTTTATTCAGGTGCCTAAAAATGTGGGTTTTTAGAAAAAACCATCTCTCACACCCCAGTGCCTGCACAAAAATCTGGCCCTCCATCCTGCTTCAGTGGCCTTTCTGGAGAGCATCCGTGTAGTTTCCTGTCTCTGCTTCCTTCCCTCTCTCTAGCTTTTTGGTTTGGTTTGTGTTATTTTTTCTGTATTTTTTCCTGTGATGGGAATTACTGCTGCAGGGCTGGCTCGTGCTCGTGTTACGGAGGTGAGGGAGGCTTTGAGAGGTGCTCATCCCACAGGCCTGGTCCCGCCAGCAGAGAGGAGCTTTTCCACCTCCAGCTGGAGTTATGCAGGAATCTCCTTCCTTCGGCGCTGGGGCTGATTAAAATCTCTCATTACCTTTACCTTCTGACTTGTGACGCCAGTTCTTTATGCAAAACCACTTACTAATGAGAACAGTTTAGGGCGAGTCAGTCAATGAAGTGTTACCGTCATGCATTACATTCGTGCAGCCGGGGGTGAGACCTCGGTGCTCCATCAGATGCCTCTCCATCCATTCCTGGACAGCGGGGCTGGGACTGTGGGGTGCTGGAGGGCTTGGGACCAGATTTTGTCTTTATAATAACCCCCCAAGTTGTGCTGGGCAAAGCAGTAGGTCACAGGCTGCCTTATCTTACGTGACTCAGACTGGCACTGCTGCTCGGTGTGGTTACGGGCTCTGCCCACGTGTTTCTTTCAGTGACCTTCCTCGGGGCTGCGAGTGTGGTTTGTACCAGGAATGCCCTGTCCTGGCTGGAAAATCGGCCCCTGGGGAAATGTGTCCTTGCTTAGGCTCCCTGGAGATGACGGGGGAGGTGTTATGGCCACAAGTGTATGGGTGCAGGTCTGGGCTCCAGCTGTGCACCGCAGGAACGGGACGGCCGGCAGCAGAGGCTGCTGTGAGGGTGGCACCCCGTTATTCAGCACAGAGTCATTATGGGGAGTAGCAATTGGGGTTTCCTTTAACTGTGTGAGGGGGATCTGTGGACATGTGCCCTGAATGCAGTGAGAGGTTTTGGTCACGGGCTTCCTCGCAAGGAGTGCCCCCCCAGGCATGTCCAAACCCCGTTTAGGCAGCAGGGATGCTTACCCTGACACCAGGCAGTGCAGGACATGGGCATGGAGGGGTTTTGTGCTTCCAGCTGTGGGGACTCTGGGGAAGGTTTTTCCACCCAGAGCCTGCTGTCCGTCTATTCACTGTGTGCTGGGCTGGATCAAAGGGAACAAAACTGCTCTGGGAGGTGAAGCTCCCTTTGCACCACTTCAACCAAGAGAAGTTTCTGCTGCCCTGGTTTAGCTCCTGAGCCCTCGCAGCCCCAAGCCTTGGAGCGGGATATCAGGGTTTTTAACCACGAAGAGCTTTCCTTCTGTGCCTTACCACGACCTGGTGCTATAGAGGAACTGCCCCAAACACGCTGCTGCTGGTCCCAGCTTTCTGTGCGGACCGGTGCT